ATGTTGTTTATTCTATTACTCTTGTTCTCTTCTGCTTGCTTTCTTTTTTCTTTCTCAGCAGGTGACCCAGGTGATTGATATATGCATTTTTTTTTCTCTGCCCGTTCTGTTGGTTTTTGTCTTTTGCCCTTCTCCCCCGTCCCTCTTCTCAGCTGTTTCTCTTTCCCTCTTTCTTTCTCCCCTTCTTTCCCCCAGTCAAGTCTGTCCCGTATTCAGTAAGTGAAAATAGAGTGAACGATAAAGGGTGAATCGGGTGGACCATTGCGGCAAGGCTGGGATGGTCGGTTTGGTGGGGTGGATCCGTTGGGCATCTTTCTTTGCCTTTGGACGGCAGTTCTGAGGGCGGGGGAGCCAAACGGGACAGGCCAAAAAAAAAAAAAAAAAAAAAAAAGACAATACCAGATATATGACCCTGAAAATTTTTTCATCTAGTAGAACTCTTTCAAACACACTTGTGTCCCTTTGGAGTCATAAATTGAACATAAATTTACAGAAACCATTAATGTCTCCTCTGATTTAAAATAAATAAAACACTACTAGGAGTAACTGTGACAACCACAAAAAAATAAAAAAATAAAATAAATAAAATAAAAAAAAGATGAGTTTCCACTGTTGCCGATGGACTTGTGGGAAGCATGTGGAGTAGCTCTATTTATTTGAAAAGAAGAAGATACACACATAAACACAAAAGTAGCTTATAAAGTGGTGTGGGCTGAGATTTTGGTATAATACATTAACATTTAGCTTATTTAGTTCATTTAGTGTATTTTTATATAGCATTAGCCCTGTGTCTGGCGGGATACATTCGGGTGTATCCGGCCTCCTGCTTTATGGAAGCTAGAATAGACTCCCACTCCCCATGACCTTGAACCGGATAAGCGGAAGAGAATGGGTGGATGGCATTTGCATTTATTATCAAAATAACTTCTAAACAGCAACAACTACAACAGATCAACAGGCCAAACACTACAGGCCTATTGTGTCAATTGTGTCAGCTTTTACGCTGTGAGAATCACGTCCTTCCCTTAACCCTGCATGACCAGTTGTTTATGAAGAAAACAGAAAAATCATAACAAAAGCATTTAAAATGTAGATAGAATAGAGATACATTCAATCTGAGTCAAGACACTAATAAAATTTTTCAAATATGTATATAGAACAAATTTCATATATATAATGATGTTTAAGTAAAACACGTGGACCCCGTGAGATACTGTATATACAGGTGCTTCTTTAGACACAGTAATCCAAGGTACTGGATGTCGTGCAAATAAAAAAGAAAGTCTGGAGAACAGTAATACTCCATTGAAGCAAATTGGCAAGATGTCCCAGTATGACGCAGAAAGAGCAGAGATTAGCATTTCCAAAAAAGTCAACACCATTTACTGTAAATCACTTGAAGGGATCTACAGCTGACATACAGCACAGACTGCATTCTGTTGTGAGACAGGCACAGTGAGTCATAACGTACCTGCTTGAAAGATAAAAATGCTAATTAGTATCACTGAAGAAACGGCCTCTGTTTTGGTTACTGTTGCAAAAAACAGAATAATTATCTTTATTCTGTTTTTTGCAGCACACAAGTCCTATCTCGCTACTATAACATGATGCACAGCATTAAATTTAATTGTAATTTGAATATTTGAAAAGTATGTCGACATCCAGCCAAATAAAAATATATAATAAATTGTGGCACTAGAGCCTAACATGGTACAAACTTTTTTTAATATCATGTAATTTTAATCATTTGCCACATTTCCAAAGCATGTTGTTATCCAATAATGAGGACCGCAAAAACAGCAAATTCTTATAAATAATTGCAATGCTAATTATTGATCAAAGGCTTTCTACATAATGAGGGAAACTGTGATAATGTGAAATAACTGTCCTTTTTCGAAATGGCGAACACAATGTTCCTATTAAATTTACACTGGTGGTACTACAGCCTGAATTCCAAAAAGAGTTGGGATGCTGTATAAAATGCAAAGAAACCCAGAATACAATAATCTGCAAAAACCCATAAACCGATATTTTATTCACAACACGACATGGAAAATATATCACATTTAAACTGAGACATTTTATTATTTCATGAAAAATACTACCACATTTTAAATTTGATGGCAGCAAAGCATCTCAAAAATGTTTGGATGTGTACTACAAGAATCCAAAAACAACATTGCCAATGTTTACCCAAAAGAGTACAAGACTAACGGCTATGAATGTGTGAATATGATGCAAAAATGTTTTCCAAATAAAAAAACGTGGACACCATGTCCTCTCAACTAAAGAGAAGAAAGACCATCTAATTTGTTATCAGTGCTCAGTTCAAGAGCCCGTATCTCTGATGGTATGGGGGTACATTAATGCCTATGAAATTGGAATTGGAAACAGAAAATCAGAATATGCAATCATAAATAACATTTAGGTAGAAAACATGGAGAAAACATTGAACATGAGATGAATGCTCTTGTGCAGTCCTGAGTATCTCAATTATTTCAATAGCACACAATATATTTAATCTTAACATCATATTATTGTAATAATAACTTATATTTGTATATCTATTGAAAAATAGTTCAAATAAACAAAAATACATAAAGAAAATAGGGCTGGAGGGACAGAAACAGCCCCATAACTGAGGACCATAGCATGTGAGACTGTGTATATGGGTGCAGCAGGTCAGAGAAGTACTAAGGGGCTCGTAACTGAATCATTGGATCATAATTATTATTTCACACTTTATTGCTGCAGCTGTTGATGATTTAATTACAATCCTACTTTTTCCTTCCATGTGCTCATCCAACAGTGCTGGGCATTGCAATTGACAGCACTCTCTTCCAGTTTGTATTTATCATAAAAATTGATAACCCACGCACTTTGATATACTAATTAGTGCTGCGCAGTTGAGATAAACATGCTTATCTCTCTGTGGATGACATTACTTACTCTTATTTATTTACTTTTATCTTTTTTCTTTTGAGGGGGGGGGGGGGGGGGGGTTCAGGAAATGAGTTTGGATTATTTTTAAGTACAGTCACGCTTCATATTACATTAGTATACTGTATTTCATTTGCTCCATTTAGATTAACACTGATAATGTATAGTTAACTGATTTATTGATAAAAGTTTACAAGAATAATCTACAGTAATATCATCTAAGACAGTTTAAGGATGTAGTGAAACTTTTCTAGCATTTATCTGGCACTGCAGTGCTTCCCCCCCCTTCCTCCTTTTCATAAGTGATGCACCAACAACAATGGCAAGAAGGACAAAAAAAATCTCTAATGGTGTCTGCATACTGGGGCTCTTCCAGTATGCCAGTACGCTGCAAGGGGACAAAAGGAGGGCATTTTAATGGTTTAGCAGGCCAATCTTGTAAGGACACGGGGGGGAGGGGAAGGTGGTTCAGTCTGGACAGATCATCTTTTCTAGCTGTAATTACAGCCAAGTCTTCTTTATACCTGGATTTTAATAGTTTTTTCTTCTTCTATAGTTAATCAGTGTCTCTACCTTCCTGCAGCCTGAACACTGTGAACTGTAATGGTGCTCCACACTTCATAACTCAGCTCAGGCCTGTGAGAAACAGTATTAAGGGTGTGGTGAGACAGCAGAAAATTTTGACTTTTGCTATATCTACTTCATCATCTTATTATTCTATAACATAACCCATCCCTCGAGGTAATTTAAATTCAATTTTGGTGCACATACACAGCTTGATGGCTTCTTGCTGTCATGCATGAAGACGGAGAGGCTTCACTGCAGCAGATGCATTATTAAAGCCTGGCCTTATTGTGTTGTCTTCTATTAAAAACAGGTATGCTGTTACTGACCATATTTCTAGGTGACCCTGTTGGGCCATCCTGCTGCAGGACATACAACAAGATTCAAGAAAATTGTAGATGGGGCCCAAAACTGGCGGAGTATACAAGAAATAGAAGAGGCAGATGATCTAGACTGGCTTGACAGAAGGATGAAGGTCAGTGCAGGTGTAAAGCAGCAGGGAAAGCAAACAGGATGTTGCCTGCAGCTGATGTGGTCTCTTGACCTGCTGGTGGGGGAATGGAGGAGGCTTCTCCCAGCCATAAAAAAAAACAATTACTGATTCACTGTTGCAGTGCAGAATAATCCACAGTGTAAGCTCCTTATCTACAGCACAATTTAGTGAAAAAAGGAAGCCCCAGAGCAGATTATTGCTCTTACTCTTGCTATTATTTGTGCAGAGACCAGCTCCTATTTGCATTTATTCCACTGGCATTACAGAAAGGTCTGTTTGTTTGTTTTCTTAAATTTTAGTTTATCAATTGAATCATTAACATTATTTTGTGTATCCCAAATAATAACCCAAGGATATTTTATTGTTTTTATCTTTTTTTTTTAAAAAAACTAAGAAAACAACACAAGTTATAGTTTTTGGACAGGACTCAGTTAATCTTAATTTCATACTCTTGATCCCTAAAAAGAAAACGAATCACATAAAACACAAACAAGATGAAAAGAAATAAAAAGAAAAACAGAAAAGAAGGAGAGGCATACTAGGAATGAATCGCCTGATTGGTGTATATTTGTAGGCTGCTGTAGCTGGGCCTGAGCATGTGAGAGTTTATGTTTCTTCAGTATGTTCTTAAAATCCACGTGTCTCAGCCATGGCCCGTTTAGCTCTTCTGGCATACAAATACGACTCCAACCACAATTCCCAGAATGCAAATCAGAAAAATAAAGACGCTGTGACGTAGTATACAAGCGAAATCCCTCCTGGATATTGTAGTTTAGAAATAACAACTGCTTACATTTACAACGGTAGTCAGACTTTCTGTATAATGCTTTCTTGACTCATCCAGGGGAAATTGTATATTTTATAAATACTACCTGTAGTAAAATGCTCCACAAATATTAATTTGCATCTGAGAAATTAAGAAAAACAATCCTATCGACTACACTTCCCAAAAGCCCTCTTGCTTCTGCGCATGTGTACAGCGGTGTGGCAGCTGCGTGTGTGGAGTGCAGTCACGTGGAGCCCGTAGAGTCCACCTCGGCTCCGTCCAAACAGAACGTGAGCTGTTAGCTGTCCGTGTATAGGAGCGCCGCTCGGTGCTAAGCTGATTCATGTTGTTTTTTTAGCCACCCGTCCGTTTAAACTAGCCTATTTAATCGAAGAATGAGTGATAACGATGACATCGAAGTCGATAGTGACGTAAGTATGGCTGCTTTTTGCTTTTTAAGGATGTTATTCCGCCAGCTGGAAATTTGTTTTAGCTCAACTAGCTCGTCGGCTAAGCGCTAGCTGGCAGTAAGCTGGCTAGCTCTGATCTTCTGAGTAATTTTATCGGGATTCCAGCTAAATGATAAGAAACAGTAGGCTTTCTTGCATCAGCTCATTGTTGACCTGATTAATTATCTTACTTTTCTTCAGCGAAAACAGTGAGATTGTGGAGCTTTACGAAGAATTGTGGCTACAATTGTACTTTTTGTTCTGTTTCTTTGCAGGAAGAATCACCGAGATATCACTCTGTGGTGCGTAATGCTGGATTTGTCCACTGTCGACACAAAAAAATGTGTCTCTGATTATTGCTAAGTTAACTTATTCATCACCACTTTGCTTATTTAATTTTTATTTATTTATTATGGTGTATTAGTCAGATTGCACTATTTGGGTGGTGGGGGCTAGTCATGAGAGAGAATGTGATAGTGCGGTTATCTCGATGATAACACGTGTATGTTTTAAATTTATTTATATATGTGTGTGTGGACGGTATTTTTTGCTTTGCGTGTAGTTGTTCATGCATCTCTGCAAGTGAAGCGATAATCCTCGGCTTCAGTGTATTGCAGGGTATCCCCCATCCTGTGTATACCCGACCATAGGGAGACTGTAACACGAAATCTATATTTAGACCAAAGCTTTATCCCTACAGAGGCTTTTTTTGTGTGTGTGCGCGTGTTTGTTGTTTTTTTCCGGTTAACACAAAGCCTTCTGTGCTCCGTAGCAGCAGGTTAGTGGCCTGAGTCGTCTCCCCCCCTCTTCCACCCCAGGCTTTTTTGCTCCCCTCCGCGGGGATTCCGCTCACAATCAGGTTTGCATATCATACATGTAGGTCATCTTAGTAAAGAGAGCGCGTTTACATTTTGTTCTGCATCCATGATGCAGATGCAGAGGGGGGCGTAACGGGTAGAGAGGCTGCTGCATCTCCTCGGACAGGGCTTGGTGTCAGGAAAGGGTGCAGCGGGATGTTTTCCTGTATTGCAGACGGTGATTAGAGCCATCTTCTCTCTACAGGCAGCGAAAAGGCTGGCAGCCTAAATGAATGACGTATAGCTGCATGCATACAAGCTAGGGGGAAAAAAAACACCCTGCACGATTTGGTTGGTGCACACAAAAACACCATGTTTCCCCGCTTGTCAAATAACTAGAATTAAAATGCGGAAGAGCTGTTTAGGAAATATTAGTGTTAACATGTTAACATGAAGTGATATAAAGATTAGAAAATAGCCTTTTTGCTGGTTCCCCCCCAACAGACCTGAGGCAATTCTCTCTTTATTTTTTGATCAATACTGACTTTAATGTTCTGCTTGTGTTGTCTAGTTTATACATGCATACCGAAAATATTTCGTTTTCTGCTGAACAGTAGGAGCATTTTTCTTCTTGCTTAAAATGGGCCTTTCGGGGTTGATTATGCAAGCAAGTCCCATTGGTCTGCTTATGGTTGCCTTACTTACAAGAAGTTTATGCATTTTTCTGTTTCTGGGGGGTGAATTTAAACTAGATTAAACCCCATTAAAAAAAAAAGAGTAAATATATTTAACACAGTTAATTTTATTTGCAGGAAAACCCCGACTTACTGCTTCAGACAGTTAGAGAAAAGCTAGCTTTAGAGCAAAACCTGGCAAGTTGCTTTTAGAAAAAAATCACCAGTGCTTTGCACAATTATTGAAGTGTTACCTTAGTCATAATTTTGGATGTTTGTCAGATGGCTTAAAAAAAAAGTGGTCTCAAGTGTATAAAAAAATGTTGCAACATTGGCAGATGTGCTCACAGATGCGTGGAGAAATATCATTATTTTATAAAGGATAAAAAGAAGTTTCCTTCTTCTTGTTTTGCCAAACAGCAGTAATAGAACAGAATGGTGTCTCTTCGTGGTTTAATTATCTACAGACAAGTAAATTTACCACCAAGAATACTTTTGTCAGCTTGTTCAGATGCTCTCAGTTATTTATTTATTTTTTAATTAGATTGTGGCTCGTATTTTCTCAGGATTGCACTTCCCAGATTGCAATTTCTGTTTCCAAAAAGCTAAATTCACCACTTTAGCTGTGCAAACAGAGATAGGAATAAAATGTAATGATGGTTTTGGTGTGGCAGACATTGAATAGTTCTCAAAACTTGAATAGTGATGTGGAAAGTGGGCCTGTTGTCTGTAGATATGTCTTGGAAGGTGAGATAAGAGACTGAACGCTGTCTAGTCATGGAGCAAAGGGGCTGCTAAGCACTTAATGTATGTATGGTATGCAGTGTGTAATGGTTAGAAAATGTACGAGGGGCAAAATATGATTTGTTTTGTAGCTCCAAGAACAGAAATGTATAAACTAATGAACAGTGAAACCAGTCATTGTAAGATCTTAAATATGTCCTAATGAGGACATTTTTTTTAAATCGTCAACTTTGCTTCACTTGCTGGCGAATCTGTTTTAGTGGCGTTTCCATGGTTACTGGTGGAAAAAGTTTTGACAGCAGCGTAGGCTTTCGTGCGGGGAAGGTGAGTTGGTCAAGGAATGGCCAGGAAGCAGCAGCTAGGCACCTGGTGGTGTTATGTAATGTCTCATGATCAGGTATGAATAGAACGGAGGAGAAGCTCAGCTGGCGTAGGCCGCCAGCAGAACGTATCAGCTTTACAGTGAAGTGATAATGGTTGCAAGCAGGTAATAGGACACCTGCTTTTTGTGGAGCCTGATGTGCTCAACAAGGTAGCTTGACGATGCAGATACTGCTGTGTTTATAGCAGCTGTTTAGTGTTGGCGACCTAGTTAAATGTAATTATGTGCATGATGTAACCTTTAAAGTGGATTCACTTGGAATTAAAATTTCCTACACAAGTCAGAAATAAAGAAAACATTGCTGCAGTCCTGGCTCTCTGAAGGAACAGACTTGTTGAAAGGTATGTCAGGTTACGTGACAGTACATACGTGGAGATCTTGTGGCTATTTTATGTAAAGGGTGTGGTGTCTGTCCTTTAATCTGCTCTCAGAAAGAGGCATGATTCCTTATTTTTCTGTCGGTACTATGGGGTCACATCTTGATATTTGGGGGCAATTATATTGTTTAATTTTCCCAAAACAAGGTTTTCTGTCAGCTTATTTTCACTCTTTTTTTTGCCTTCAAAAGAAACAACAAGAACAAACAGAATTTGAGATGTTTTCTTTTCCCAAAGACACATTTAACAGTAGTAAAAAGTACCCTCACTGGTACTCAGATTAATAAAATTTTGTAATGTAAAAAAGCAGTTTCATATTAACCGCTAATCGTTATTAGATTAGTGTTCAATATAAATTATAATTATGTAGGTTAGAGCATGTATAGTGCAGACAGCTGGGTCATTTCATATAAATCTAAATAATTGCGTTTCCTCTAGACCTTCTCAGATACAGTTGTTTTGTTTTTTTGCTTTCGGGCTTGTAAAAATATTAAATTATATAAAATATTCATAGGCTGAAGTAGAGCTGGGCGATATGAGATTTTTTCATATCACGATATGTTTTTTTCATTTCAGGCGATAACGATATCTATCACGATATAAGCCAAATAACTATATTTGTAAGATTTAAATGTGCCGTTGCTCACAAGTAAAATGTGAAATAATCAGCAGCTTGTTTTTATTTAAATATTTATTTCCCATAATAAATTCAACAGGGTAGATATACTTAAGGAACATGAGACTTTTTCAGATAAATAAAGGCAAATATTGCAAACTACACAAAAGGCAGCCGCTAAAGCGTTTAAGTTTCAAAATAGAACAAACGAAACAGACTAAATTGTCAATTCCACTTAGAAACAAAATATTAATTCTAAAAATAAATCTTAGTTTGTTTTACAGAAGAACAGACAAAACTGACTAACTTTTGTCAATATCAAATAAACTGAGAACTAAAAGGAAATTCTCAATCTCTCCTTGTTGTATAGCTGAGCTTTTCAAACAGTTTTAACAGTTACTTTCGTCTGACAAAAGCCGAATGACGAATTAGCGCTTCCAGTCAGAGACTGAGGCTACGTCCACACGTACACGGGTATTTTTGAAAACGGAGATTTCCCGTTTTCGTTTTAAAAAATAATCCCGTCCACACATAAAGGCAGAAATGAAGGAAAACGCTGCTATGAACATGCCAAAGCAGCAGGTGGCGCTAGATTCCTAACTGTGCCTAAATGTTGGCCAATCAGAAGTCTAGAAGCCTCGGTGGGAAAAAGTAAACAAAGCTGGGGCATAGAAGCAGAACCGAGTCGTATGTGTGGACGGACAGTAACTGTGTGTATATGTAAGCATTTAAACACTGCAGAGAGTAGAATTAACAGTATTGTAGAAATTCATTTCACCGAAACAATAACGTGGCGCACAGTGTGACGCATGCACCAGTTTATTGTATTTCCAGACTTGCTTTCGGCACAATTTACAGTGCACGCTACTCTGTTTTTTGTCAGACTTGAAATAGCCGAAATACCTTCACACTACGGAACTTCTTTGGCTCTTCCGTTCGACAATCTCTCCGGCATTGGAACCATCATCTGTTTTCTCTTCGGTCACGCTCGGTTGATTTTTCTAGTCGGCACACTCATTTCCTCCATTACGCGCTGGCTCCATTACCCGCTGGCTGCTTCCCAAACAAACACACGTGCGGCTTGGCACTTGTGCTGTACGTAACAAGTCACGCGACGTGACGCTGCGGCTGTGATTGGTTCGGCTCTGCGCTACTTAATTTGGATTGGCTGACCTTTTTTTTTTTTTTTTTTTTAAGAGGACAAGAGCGGCGAGGTCTATCGCGATAGCTTAATTTCTCTATCGAGTAAAAGTTATATCGCGATACATATCGTTATCGTTCTATCGCCCAGCTCTAGGCTGAAGGTAAAATCTTGCCTCAATTAAACAGACTGAAGTTGGTGTACCACTAAAAATCATTTACCTCTGAGGTCATGAGGTGGGTGGTATTAAATAAATCAAATTTTTCATGAAATGACTAACCTTATCTTTACTAATGTGATATTTACTGTCCGAACAGAACCACTTTTCCCTTAAAAAAAGTACTTACATTTTATACTTATAAGTCACTACTGCAGACCTTGAAACTGTTTTAAACTGCAGTGGTTTTAAATGTCTTTATGTACCCTGTCTCCTCTTTAACTGGTGCAATGAAACTTTGCATGAACATTTAACATTTATATGCTTTTAAAACATTTATTATAAATTCAAATTCTGATGGTTTTTGTAAATATTCAACATCCTCTTGAGAGTGCGACTTACATTGCCAAAGAGTAACTTAAAGGCACTAAAATATATATCTGTGGTGGAACTTTGTTCAAATCAGCACTTAATAGTGAACGAAGACTTTGAAGAAGCGTGAAAGGCCTGTCAAAATCCGCCTGTGAAGCTTATTTTTGCTCATTTTAAACGAATGGAAAGAAATGAGGAAACAAAAGCAGCTTTATGGAATTATTGGATTGGAGTTTATTGTGAGGTTTAACTAGGGCTGGCTGATATGGGAAAGAAAGTCATAAAACAATAATTTCTTTCTTATCAGTCTGAAATATAAATCGTGCTGTAAATGGACTCACAATTTTGGTCAAGCTTAGAGGTTCTTTTTCATACCAAGATATACAACCAAGAACACAAACACAAATGGAAAACTGAAATCTTTGGTCTGTTCCAAATAAGTATAACCTAGATATTAATCCGATATTAAAAAAAATGATTTTTTATTTTTTAATATAGATTCAGACTGTCTGTACAAATTCAAGAACCTTTCAAATGCAGGCAAAGGAGAACATTCAGATAGTTTAGGGCCACTTGTGCTCCAAGGCACAAGCGAACAGTTATGTCTATAACGTCTGTTCCCTGAAGCAGAGGAACGGGTTGTATTCCCCTGAACAGCTACCCTGAGGTACCCCTGAGCAAGGTACCGTCCCTACACACTGCTCCCCGGGCGCCCAATGGCTGCCCACTGCTTCACTGAGTGAATGGGTTAAATGCAGAGAGGAATTTCCCCACGGGGATCAGTAAAGTACACTTTCTTTTTCGAATAAGAAGCAAAGTGCCGTCACAACAAAGTGGGCAGTGACGCTCATATGGATCAGATGTGCAACTTGACCACAAAGCCAGTGTGGTGGCGAAGAATGACACAGCTGTCCAGCCGTCGCTCTACAGTCCATGTACAGCTTTGAAAGTACGAGAAATGTTAATGGTCAGTTCCTTTAATTCAACATTATCGACTGTGCTTACTGGCATCGTGTCTTGTTATCGGACAGTTCCATTCAGCAAAGTTCTCGTAGCTTGAGTCTTGTGCCGCGAGTCGTCGTTAAACTTTTTATTTTGTTTTATCTCAATCACACTCACTTGTACTGCTGCAGCCCAAACACTAGCATATGTGGTGCTACTGGCTACACCTCCTATATCAGCCTATGCTGACGTGGCTCTGTGTTCTCATTATCATTGGTCTTTTGTCTTATCTGTCAAAACATGCTGGAATAAGGTTTGTCAGCTTTATGGTGACCATATCTTATATTTATATTGAGCAAAACTTTATTCATGGGCATTTCTTTTGTCATTTTTATCGTCCAGCTCTGAGTTTAGCCAAATAAACTGTACATTTACAAAAGGGAAAGTAAACCTAATGGCCAGCGTTGATTGGTAACTGTATTTAAAGCAGTTCCAGTGTTTTAAATAGCTTGTCTGTAAGTCACCACTTGCTTTTAACAAGCAGGAATTCTATAATAAATGAATGCTAACACACTCTGGGCTTTACTCCTGTTAATATACTGAACATAATAGTCTTCCCCTCATTGCCGTTGAACAAGAAAGTCAACCACGTGCACTTTCTGTATCTATTGTCTCGTCGCTGAAGCATCCATAGATACAGCCACCAGACTGGTAATTGCACATGCCATCAATAGCAGTCATGTTTGTTCATGCAAGGATTAATGGAGGGAGTGCTTGGCACAATGAGGCACATGGTCCTGGTGGTTTTTTCTCCCTTCTGGTTGGTCTCTGTTTTATGCAACACACTGTAGGAGCAGCTGCCACTGAGTCACATGATATGCATTGTGGGTAGCTTTAAGGGTATATATGTGGGGTTTTGTTTGGGTTTTTTTTTTTTTTTTAAATTAAAGTTTCAGTTTCAGTGACACTCAGGGTGTCTAGGATGTGTTCATGCTCTGCAGCATTTATCTTCTTGCTAAGACCTTCAGCAGGATGTTTACTTGCTTAAAGTATTACTTGAGTCACGCTTTACGCCCACCGAGATCACAGCGAAAGGCTTGTCTTAACCTGCTCTTCATCTCACTCGTGGCCACTTTGGCTTTTGTTGTAATCCATGGACAAAATGAGTCAGATGACACAAGGTCACCTGACTTCTGTCTCCTCTTCTCTTTGCCTGAAACTGTGGCGTGACCACAAATATTGTTCTGTTTTCATTGCTAATATTTTAGTCACATCTCGTGCTTTGCTGAAGCTGTGTGATGGTGGATGTACAGATGATTTTGGAGGCTCTTATTGGGAGTTGGGCTCAGCCTGGTGACAGCATGGATTAGTCAGGAGTCAGATTTGATTGAAGGCTGTAATTGTTTGGCCTAAAAACAGGCCGAACTACATGCTGATCAGTGCTCTGGTCATGTGCTAATGGCAGCTGTTTTATGCCTCGAGTTTAATAATTGGAGTTCAGATGTGTGGTTTTGAATTAACAGCTAGTTATGTGCCTGTTTTTAGTTGGTGTTTGTTAATAGTGTTGGGTTGTTATAGTTAAGCTAGTTATTTGATTTGACAAAAGACATGAAAAATGTTGTATTTTAGTTCATACAGCAGCCTAAAATTAACCTCAAATTTACGGTGAAAAGCCGAACCCCATAAAGGTTGGAGAGCAAAACAACCTCTGTTCATGACTGCTGAACTGTTTACTTTCTCATCAGGGAGTTAGCTGACACTATTATTTGTCATCATGTTTGCAGTGACTAGTTTTCATGTTCAAATTTAGAGATTTCTCCGTATTTTGGTCTATTTTAGACAATAGAGTTTTGCAGCAAATGAAGAGGGAGCTGGAAGTAGCATTTCATTGTTAGCATGTTAAGATGTAATAATGCATCTACAGTGCTTGGCAAATTTATTAGACCACTATCCAATGTAAGGTTTATGTCACACTAGATTAACACTATTGGTGATTACCAAAATAATTTTTCACGTTTCTGTGATTGTTAATCCACCAATATGCACTTTATGCTCTTTAATTTGCAAAATTTAAAGTTATTTATTTAGATTTCTATGGTTGACTGATGTTCTTAAATTCGGACTTCTCAGATGAGTACAGTGTGCCGGCATAAATGCAGGTATTAAAAAACACAAATGCAGTTTGTCTAATAAATACCAATATAATTTTTTAGATTTAAACAAGTTTTGGACTATTTCTAAAATATTAGCTTGATTGTTTTTATGACTATTGGTCTAATAAATTTAAGCATTTTGTGTTTAAATATGTTATATCTTATGTTTAGTTAAAAAGAAAAGTTTTCTCACCTTTGGTCATATTTAAATTTGGGTAAAATATCAGAGTAATGACGGTCTACACTAAGATCTGGCCTTCTATGTAGAATCTGTCATATCGGCTGCTGATATTGAAATCCGTTGAGGACTGTGAGGTTAAACCTTTTATCTTGTGGATTACAGAGCGATAATATTTGCATGAGTTTCAGTGAACTGCAGTCCCTGTTTTAATATGAATTTCTTTAAAATGACAAGATAAGTGTGTTGATATTAAAAAAGAAGAAAGGAGGGTTATGTTTCACAAATTTTGAAGTTGGTGAAAAGGAAAGGATTTACATCTTTAATAGTAAAATGAATTTTTACAGGTTGAGGCTGTTGAGCAGTTTAAAGATGGCCTTAAAAATGTGTGACTATCATTCTCAGTGTTTTATTATAGATTGAAGACAAACTAATTTTGATGCCTTACTGGGGATATTAACTACATCTTAAATGAGTCCTCCTCCTCTGTAATGGTTGGTTAATAATAATGATGGCTGCACTGAATTAAAAGCACAAAGCAGTGTTTTACTGCAGAGTGCGACTTGGCAGCAGAGCGGCTTGTGAACGTTTGACTGGGACGGCTGGACACCCGCTGTCCCTCTACCCACGCTGCTCTGCTGCCTGGCTTAAGGCCCTGTGACTCTTGTCATTGCAGGCAGACAAACGGGCACACCACAATGCGCTGGAGCGCAAGCGTAGGGACCACATCAAAGACAGCTTTCACAGCCTCCGAGACTCGGTACCCTCCCTGCAGGGAGAAAAGGTTGGTAACACTCAGCCTGTAAGTCTGCCTACCACACAAATGCCAACTACACACTCATGTATGAAAAATATTTGAATTTGAATGAATTGTTATTGTGTCATGTCTATGCTAAAATGTGAATTTTACTGTTTATGATGTTTAGAAAACAGCATGTAGATGTTCAGAGATGCAGATGTCTTGTTGCTTCATGTGGAGGGCATTGATTGGGCAGCTGATTAGTGGAGGGTAAATGGTAGAAGGGTGCAGACTGGCAACAGGAAGGCAGTGATGCAGTCTAAGTACTTGGAGCAGCATTGGGAAGTTATTATGAGGACATTTTGTTGCTCTCTTCCTGTTTTGACATCATTGACGTAGAGAATTTTTAGAGTGGGTTCAGCAACTGGCTGCACAAGGGTTTTATTTCAGTTCAGGAAACACACAGTGCAAAATGGCTTGATAAGACGCTCGGCTATATTTATCTCAGTCCGAATCACCACATGGACATCGCTGTTTAGCTATCGATTACAGTGGGGCAAAAAAGTATTTAGTCAGCCACCGATTGTGCAAGTTCCCCCACCTAAAATGATGACAGAGGTCAGTAATTTGCACCAGAGGTACACTTCAACTGTGAGAGACAGAATGTGAAAAAAAAATCCATGAATCCACATGGTAGGATTTGTAAAGAATTTATTCGTAAATCAGGGTGGAAAATAAGTATTTGGTCAATAACAAAAATACAACTCAATACTTTGTAACATAACCTTTGTTGGCAATAACAGAGGTCAAACGTTTACTATAGGTCTTTACCAGGTTTGCACACACAGTAGCTGGTATTTTGGCCCATTCCTCCATGCAGATCTTCTCGAGAGCAGTGATGTTTTGGGGCTGTCGCCGAGCAACACGGACTTTCAACTCCCACCACAGATTTTCTATGGGGTTGAGGTCTGGAGACTGGCTAGGCCACTCCAGGACTTTCAAATGCTTCTTACGGAGCCACTCCTTTGTTGCCCGGGCGGTGTGTTTTGGATCATTGTCATGTTGGAAGACCCAGCCTCGTTTCATCTTCAAAGTTCTCACTGATGGAAGGAGGTTTTGGCTCAAAATCTCACGATACATGGCCCCATTCATTCCGTCGTTAACACGGATCAGTCGTCCTGTCCCCTTGGCAGAAAAACAGCCCCATAGCATGATGTTTCCACCCCCATGCTTCACAGTAGGTATGGTGTTCTTGGGATGCAACTCAGTATTCGTCTTCCTCCAAACACAACGAGTTGAGTTTACCAAAAAGTTCTACTTTGGTTTCATCTGACCACATGACATTCTCCCAATCCTCTGCTGTATCATCCATGTGCTCTCTGGCAAACTTCAGACGGGCCTGGACATGCACTGGCTTCAGCAGCGGAACACGTCTGGCACTGCGGGATTTGATTCCCTGCCGTTGTAGTGTGTTACTGATGGTGACCTTTGTTACTTTGGTCCCAGCTCTCTGCAGGTCATTCACCAGGTCCCCCCGTGTGGTTCTGGGATCTTTACTCACCGTTCTCATGATCATTTTGATCCCACGGGATGAGATCTTGCGTGGAGCCCCAGATCGAGGGAGATTATCAGTGGTCTTGTATGTCTTCCATTTTCTGATGATTGCTCCCACAGTTGATTTTTTTCACACCAAGCTGCTTGCCTATTGTAGATTCACTCTTCCCAGTCTGGTGCAGGTCTACAATACTTTTCCTGGTGTCCTTCGAAAGCTCTTTGGTCTTGGCCATGGCGGAGTTTGGAGTCTGACTGTTTGAGGCTGTGGACAGGTGTCTTTTATACAGATGATGAGTTCAAACAGGTGCCATTCATACAGGTAACGAGTGGGGGACAGAAAAGCTTCTTACAGAAGACGTTACAGGTCTGTGAGAGCCAGAGATTTTCCTTGTTTGAGGTGACCAAATACTTATTTTCCACCCTAATTTACGAATAAATTCTTTACAAATCCTACCATGTGGATTCATGGATTTTTTTTTCACATTCTGTCTCTCACAGTTGAAGTGTACCTCTGGTGCAAATTACTGACCTCTGTCATCATTTTAAGTGGGGGAACTTGCACAATGGGTGGCTGACTAAATACTTTTTTGCCCCACTGTAAAACAACAAAACAAGTTATGGCTGGGTATCAAATCAGTGTACTTTTGTGCTTCTGAGTCTGTGTTTCAAAGATTACCAAGTGGCAGTCTGTTGTGGTTTGGGCAGGTTCACAGTCTTTGGTCACAGTTCCCAATAATAAACATTTTGCCAATTTTTAGACCTTAAACTTGCATTAACGTAAAAAATAGGAATATGGACTTCCCCTGTTCAGTTACGGATTGGGAGTTGTGAACCTTCTTTGAGATGAGTGTGGCTGATCGAGCCACACTAGCATAAATGGTTATGAGGCTGTTTATGGCAGCGGTCCCCGGGCCTCGGACCGGCACCGGTCCGTGTGTCATTTGGTACCGGGCCGCGAGAGTTGAGGCTCAGGTGTGAAATGTATGGTTTTCAAGGTTTTTATCGGTTTTCAGCGTTATTTTGTTATCGTTTTTATCGTTTTTATCGTTTTTATCGTTAACTCGGTTTTCCTGAGTCTTTTCACGTGTGTTATGAATAAATCTTTTTTTTTTCGGTACCGGTACTAGTTTTATTTTGTTGTATTTATACGCGACACGTTAAAGGCTGGTCCGTGGCGCAAAAGTCGGGGACCGCTGGTTTATGGCATATCACTTGCACCAATGTGCTGATCATAAACAGGCAGATTAACCAGAAGGCTTAACTCTTTAAATATGGGACGAATTACAAAATAAACAAACCTTTTTAATGATTGAGCATCTTTTTCACGTTCCTAGTGGTTCTGGCCTTCTAGTGTTAAACAGAAGATTGCAGTGGTTTGACTGTAATTCTGATCTTTTTTCTGTTTTTTGTTGGTATTTTGGCTTGAGTAGTGTTTGGTTTTTTCTTACCCAACAGCTCCCCTTCCCCTGCACTAATGGCCGTAATGTATGTCGTAAACAAGCAGAGTAAAAAAATGTGATAGATTGCATCTTGGAAAATTCTTTCAAGCAGTGTTTTGATCAAGATAATGAACACTAGTATGTTGGCTGCTTTAGAATATGTGGACGTGTTAAATAGTTGAGCGTTGGAAAGTGCATTCAGTGCAAGCATGTTGAGCCTATAATCTAGAAGGAAGGAAGGCTGGTGGTGCCACACTTATTGTTTCCTGACTGTTAGACTTGATCCTCAGTCTAAATTCTAATTTTCCATTGATTAACTGCTTTTTGGGAAAGAAGAAACACGTCTGTTCCTTAAATGTCAGTCCGCTTCTGCCTTTGAGTTGAAGTAAGGTTTAAAGCCTTCTGAGTTTCTTGGGGTGAGCTGTAATTCAGCAGTAGAGCTGCTAAAACGCTACCCAAGAGCAGCTTTACTGCCATCAGACTTGGAGATATTTGGGTTGTGTTTCTGCCCAAATGTGTTTTGTTGCAGGGTAAGGAGCTGAAATCAACTCGTATCCCCTTTAACGCAGTGTTTAACCTGCAAAGGCATTAAAGCGGTTATGAAATTAGTAGTTGGGGACATCCATATCATCTGTAGGATATATCTGATGGACATTTTTTGCCTCCTCTGGCAGCAACACATCTGTGGATGGGGTGAAGGTCCAGTTAGCAGTGTTAACCTTCTGAGGCAGAGGAAAATGTCCACATATATTTATCCATACTACTTGGCTTACCTTTATCAATAAGAGTGATGTAGAGTTTAAATGTTTGCATTAAATTTATGCTGTGGGTACGTTGTAACTGCAAAATCCTATGAAACCTCGTGACCAGGCATGCATCGCCCTACAAAGGTAACTGCATTTCATTGCAATGACTGCGATTGGTGCCGTTTCCATCTGTGCATTTCTGACGAGCACTTCTTGTGCCTCTATCTGCCAAACTGACGGGAAGAGAGCAGCTCAACTTGAAGAGATAAGTTCCACTCACAAGTGCTATTCGAGTAGCAAAATTGCAGTGCAGATATGCCAACTCGAATAAACTACATAGTGGCCTCAGTATAGACAGTTAAATAAAGCTTAAATCCCAAATATACTTAAATTTATTTCCAGTGGCGTGTTCTTTGCAACGCATGACCTTAATTGAAGTTTTGTAAACGTGCCATTGCTAGCCATGTGAAATTAACTTATTGCCAATTTTGGATGTGTGGCAATAAAAGATCAACTGAATAAGGCCTTGGGCTTAGAGTGGTTAGTGACCACCTGGTAACTGCCTGTTGTGAAGGATACATAATCCCCAACTGGTTGCTGGAGGTTTGATTGCAGTTGCTAGGAAAATAATTGCTAAAGACACAGGCACGCAGGCCTACAGACCGGCCAGTGACTCACCTGTTGCTAGGTTGTTCCCTGACCATTTGGCCTTGTGATTGCTTTGATCGCTAGCATATTGCTGCAGTTGTTTGAATGGAAGTGATGGAGTTGTCTACAAATATGGTCCAGCTACTCTCCGAGCTGTTGCGTCACAAGCAGGAAACAGATCATTGGCATTCAATGAAAATCATGTTTGCTTCAGCTCTGCAGCACAGCTTTTACTTCTAAGGGAAGCGTTCTCATTTCCAGTGAGTGTAGCACTTTCTCCAGTTGTCCTGAGCTACTGGTTAGCGAGTGTTTGCACAAGAAAAACCTGCAGGCAACTTTGGTTCGGCACCTTCTTTGACACTCATACACATCTGGCACTTTTCACTTTTCCCTAGAAACGGGGGATTGTATCACATTTTCTATGGTGGACACCTCTTGCTGTCACTGTCACTTTAATTTAAATTAGACTTGTTTTTCTTAAACAGAAGGTAAGTTGGAGCCTTTAAATGATTTTTTTTTAAATCAGTGATACCCAGCCATAATTTGTACAGGTCAAGTAGCTGACAGACACCAGGTAGGCATGATGGCAAAGCTGTAATCTGAGCTGGTTGCTGCTGCAGTGTTTGTTGTCTGCTGTAATCGAGGAGAGGCCTCTGACCGTAACTTGTCAGGGGTATGACAAAGCTTATGCATGTCAGACTGAAGTGCTAGCAGATTTCAGGGGGTTAAAAGAAGGCAAGCTAGGTAGAGAAATGCACTGCTGTCTCAGATACCCTGTAGTGTCCTGCAGTGGTTTGAGTCTGCAGTGTGCTGCTCTCTGGGGCCAGTCTGCGTAGCATCATGGCAGGGGTTAGAGTTACTGTGTTAGAAATGTGATAAAGACTCTGTATACTTGCGTCATTGCTTCAATTTTTGCATGTGTCACTAACAGCAGTCTACCAAACAGGCGTCTCGAGCTCAAATCCTAGACAAAGCCACAGAGTACATTCAGTACATGAGGCGGAAAAACCACACACACCAGCAGGACATCGACGACCTGAAGAGGCAGAACGCACTGCTTGAGCAACAAGGTAACACTTCTTATCGGGGAGAGGCGGGCTGATTAATGCTGGTTTGGGTCGGCTGTGAGGTTTTCCACCTGATAGGTGCAAGCGTGGACGGCCGAACAATAAATGTTTGTTTGAATGTTTTGGCGATAAAGGAGTGTGTGTGTGTGAATAGTTTCAGAACACACTGCTCTTTACGCATAAACAGATTTATTTAGTTTTTTTTAGAAAAAGAACAAGTCTGCCCCCTTTTCTGTTCTAAATTTACTATAGGATCATCTGCAACTACATGGGGGAAATACAACATTTTATCATTATGTTTGAGCGTTTAATAACATGCCTCCTTGTACCTCCATGTAATCACCTAAAAGAGAATGGCCCCTCTAACGTCTCTCCCTCATGTTTCTAAAGTTTATGTATGAGATGTGCTTGTCTATTTTTACGTCCAGGGCCGAGGTTGCTCTAAGGCTAATATTTCCACGCTTCTCAGTAACCAGGTTACAATCGGCTTTCTTCAGTAAGCTCATAACAGTCATGTAAACGAAGATGGTGGTTACTAAAACCAGAGTGAAGGATTAGACAAACCTGGCAAAGCTCAGAATGATGGAAACAAGATTGATTTTCGACATAAAAAGAAAAAGGACCTACAAATGTGCATTTCGTACCAAGCATTACTGGAGAATCCAAGAGACAAAAATGGTTTTAACTGTTGAGCACAGGAAGCTTTCTCAGAGACTTTGGAGAGACAAAGGTCTAAATATTGTCATTGTTTAGACCTTGAGCAAATTTGGACCATCATGTTCTGCTCTCTGATGTACCTAAAATCCTCCAAAACTCAATGAAAGGTGTAGCTTAGACATGGTGCATTAATATACTCTTGTGCAAAATGAGGATGTTTTCCATATGTATATGAATCACGTTTGTTTCTTAAAGTCTTAAACCCTCCTGATAACTGAGCCGAAAATGGTTGCATTTGCTTTATTTTACACTATAATACAATAAGTCACCATCTTTTAACAAAGTATAATACGCTTCATTGAGCAGAGTTAAGTGTAGGATACAGAAAATCCTGAGTGCAGTGTTCCCACATAAGGATGCAAGGTCTCAGGAGGCTAAAATTTTGTGAGACCCCTGCGTCATCACTCTGATTTTTTCCCTTCCCCCCTTTTAAGCATTAGATTGCACAAAAATGCCAGCTGTAGCAAAACTGATAGAAATAAGATAATATATGTAAAATTAAGGGGTTTGTTTGTTTGTTTGTTTGTTAGAAGGCTCAATAAACAGTCCAGTTTCAGGCTTTGAAGCAGTTTGATTGAGCTCATGTGACATTGTGGGCGACAAACAACCCAATTTAATGTTGAGTGGGCCGGCCCAAAGAAGCTGCCCTTTCTGTCGGTCTAAAGAAGTTTAACTACAGAAATTGGTGCTGTAACTTTTTTGTCATTTAATAGTTGATTTACTACTTTTTTACTTTGGTGTAGTATGAATAGCCACGGGAGAGCTATTTGCCAATAAGAGAAGTTGTTAAACTCATGAAACTGCAGGTAAGAGTCCAAAGTAAATGCCCTCCTTCACAATTTCTAATGCCATCCAGATTGGTATCTTTGCTGGGGCGATTCTGGCCCCAGGATTCAGATTCACTCTTAAGTTTGACTGTTTGAAATCTGTTTAATTACTTCAAGATCTGGCGCTGAAAGTAATCTGTTAGTGCTTTGAATGCATCCTAATCAGGTTTCTGTCCAGCTTATAAAAGCAGAGAATTATGATCAGCAGTGTTTCCTCAGACCAATCGTTTCTTCAGTAAATTTGAGTTCTCTGTTCCTTTGTGTCCACGCAGTCCGCGCTCTGGAGAAAGTGAAGGGCTCAGCTCAGCTCCAGGCCAACTATTCCTCGTCTGACAGCAGCCTGTACACCAACCCCAAAGGCAGCGCCGTGTCGGCTTTCGACGGCGGCTCCGACTCCAGCTCGGAGTCGGAGGCAGAAGAGCCACCCACCAGGAAGAAGGTGCGCGTGGAGGCAAGCTAGAGAGCCGAGCGTCTTAAAACGAAAAAATAAAAAAAGGAAAAAAAATAGGTGCGGTCGAGGCAGCAGAGCACAGCGGAGGGCGAGAGGGGAGACGGCCTTCAAAGCTCTCGAGGCTCACCGACCTCTCCTACCTTCATGCCAACGACCACCTCGGCCTCCCTCGTCATCCTCTCTCCTCCATCTCTGGATGGGCTCGCACTGGAGACTCGTCGCCATCAAATCTCCTCACAACAGCCGCCACAATCGTCTCTCTCCAGCCAGTCTCCACCCACGGGAGAGAGGTTGTAAGCAGGGTGAAAGACAACTGCTTCAATCCACCTAGAGAGCTTCAGGTTCCCCTCCTCCTCCACCCCTCTTTCTCTGTTGATTTTTGTTCTCCATCATTGGTATCCTCCCCTTCTTTAGCAACATCAATCCAAATCCTAAAAAGAGGCAGCTTGGCTATGTAAGGACTCGAGGCTCTTTTGTGTGTGTGTGTACCCTCAGTAAAGCTCCTCCTCCTCCCCCAAGTTATCTTTTTTTCCTTTGGGAGGAAGGATGAGCCAGGTGTACTCTTTCAAGCACTGCTATGTTATGTATTTTTTTTGTTTTTGTTGTTTAGAATTTACACACACACCTAGATAAAAAAAGAAAAAAGTTTTGGAAAGATTTACCTTTTTAAAAATGAATAAAACATTTGTAGCTTTCTTTTTTTTTCCAGTAAAGAATGTGAAGATGCTCGGAGCAAATGTTAAAAGTGATAACCCACCTCAGCCCCACTGGATTGCAGACGTTTCCTGCAGCACACACTTGTCAACACAAGATGATTAAAAAAAGAAAAGAGAGAGAGAAACCTGTTCTGTTGAAATTGATGTTTTGAAGGAGAATATTCCTGAACTTATATCGTATTTTGTCCTTTAGCTTGAAGTAGTGGATGACTTTAGGTGGCTGAATACATTAGGCATCTCGTTTTATATATTTCAAAAAAGCATTAATTGGATGTTTTCAAGTTCAAACAGTATGTTATGCATTTCTTTAGTGATCACACAAGTCATGAGATGATGCTGATTTTGTCACATGTAGTTTTCTTCAAGGTTATGAACTAGGTTTTGAATCTGAAAAAGTAGCCCCCGTCTCCTGCAGTACAGGGAAGCAAAAGAAGTCCATGTCAGTGTGTTGTGCTTTACACAGTAAAAATCAATGTTGCTGAATCCCCCCCCCCTCCAAGGAAAAAAAAAAAAGGAAGCATTTTCGTGTCTAGGAAATGTGTGTGTATGTATATTGTTTCCATTTAATTTCTATTTAGAAGGATATTATTAGTGTAGTAGGTCTTTGTCCAGTTCCATTCCATGGAAATTACAAGTATGTTGTACATACTGCCAACAATTGTCTTGCAAGTTGAGGCCTACCTTTACTATGAGACTATAAAATAAACTATTTTATCCTTTAGCTGTCTGTCTGTGGTCACTGATCAGCATTTCCTTCGGTGTGTGAAAGTGCTAAAATATTGGACTCTGCTCAATTTCTTTTTTCTTTTTTTTAAGAATGGCTTCTTGACAGCTGCCTTTCCAATGAGACCATTTAGGACGAGACCTTATCAAACAGTAGATTGATCAACTGAAATGCTAAATGTCAACTGTTTAGCTGCTATTTGAGGCACTAAACATCGAAAAACTCAAAGGCTTTTCTTTTCAAAAAATGTGCACAAAATGTTAAAGAAATCTACAATAAATCATACACGGGGACCCAGAATTGATCTACTGACTCCCCTGATGAAGGCTTGTGTGCCAAAATATGTTGGAAGGTTTTTGTTTTTTAAGTTAAACATGACAGTGCCATAAGAATAAAAACATTTGAAATTTTCAACTGAAAAGAAAGAGCCTTGGAACTTCTTTCCTCCTCCACCTGTTGAATTTCCTCAATTTTTTAAGGACTCACTGCACACATATACGGCACATTTCCAGCTCTTTGGGATTCACTTGTTGGCCCAAAGCTATGCCTCTAAATCAAATTTAAGACCAAACTGGAAATGGAAATACCCATCATAGATGAAATCTTATTTGGTCATTAATGACCTGTGTCATCATCCTTATGGTTTCCATGTTTTGTTTTTCAAATTTTAAAATGCATTTCACCGTTAACAGTTTCTAGAAGTCTGAAAATGTGCAATCGAACTGAACAATGCAGCCACATGGCGTGATCGAAAAAATGTGTGGCGGCGGCTTAACGAAGCTGTACGTGGGAACATTAAAGACTCAAACTGAATTTAACTGATTTATTGTGCAGGTGTAGTGAAGTCAGGTTTTTCTGGTTTTGTTTGTCTACCTGATGTGTTATAATTTCCCATTTTTACACGAGAGTCGTTTTTTAACCAGGTGGCTGAGCAGCGGCCAACCCCAGCCGACTCTTGTCTGTTCACGGTCATTCCCTTCTTATTTAGAGGATACTTTTGTGTGTGTTTCCTGCTCTCCGGTTTAACCACTCTCTGGATTTTAGAAAAGTCTACAAGCATCGGAAATATTTTAATTGCTTTAATATGTCATGTTCTTTGCCCTGAGTTGCACACATGTACCAATTTGATGACCTATTCAAGCGCCGAGTCTCCCTTCCCCAGTATCCACCTGTAACTGCCATTCCCATTACTGTAAATAACATGTTTGCATGGAATGAGCCTAGACACGCTGCCTTTATAAAGCTGATGCAATAAATCATTTGGCAAATGTCCAAAAGCTCCAGTTTCTAAAATAGGAGGGTGCAACTACTGAGATGAGAAAAACTAAATCGGATTTTGTATAGATTTATTCTGTCTTTTGTAAAGTCTAAAATGACCTCAAACGTAAACCTTTTAAGATCTACAATAACGCTTTACCCTTTTGAAAGCCTACTAGCAGTAACCCTTGATGCTCTTCCCTGAACTGAGCGTCTTTCATACTTCAGGCCTGCTTATAGGACAAAATGACTGGGTCTGCATCATCTAGCTGTCATCTGAAAACCTGGAAAATATCCTAATGGTCATCAAACCGCATCTTTATTGTTACACACTGAGGTGTCAAGTCATTAAGGGTACAAAGGAGGTCATAAAATGTGATCTTTATGGGGGAAAGAGTTAAGTAGCTGTCTTAGTACTTTGTCCCCATTTGTCCTGTAATCATGGACTCGACACAGTTTGCTACCTTTTAATTTAGCAACACAAACACCTGGTGAGGATCTACTGCATCCTGTTTTGCTGAGCTTCAAGTTAAAGGGAAATTACACAGAGTGCGATTATACACTCGCCAGCCACTTTGTTAAGCACACTAGTACCAAGTTAGATCCTCCTCTAACAAGTTGGTGGAAACATCTAACATGTGACTCTTGCCCATATTGACATGATAGCATCAAACAGGTGCTGCACATTGGTTGGCCGCACATCTACGATGCAAATCGCTTGTTCAAACACATCCCAAAGGTGCTCTGCTGGATTGAGCTCTGCGGACGCCATTTGAGTACAGTGAACTCGTTACATTCACGAAACCAGTTCGGGATGATTTCGGATGTGTGACACAGTAGATACACCATACAAGTGTGGTCACAAAGGGATAGACAGAATAGTATGTGGCATAAAAAAAAAAAAGCACAGTTTGAATTTCAGGAGGTTGTTTTGACCATGCCTGTTGCTGCCCTATTGTTGGTTGCTTTACAAAAGCAGTGGAACTGGTGTACCTAATGAACTGGCCAGTGAATATAATACGTGTATAACATACAAACTCAGAAAAAACACCTGACCGACCCCCTCAGCACCCTAACACCATCATGAGAAAAGCTCTAACAAGTTTTATTAACCTACTGAAACCTTATAAAGTTCCACCTTTATTTCAGAGAATGAAAACAGACAATGCAAGCAAAAAAAATAAAAATAAAACATATTCAACTGAATGTGAGGCTGCCCTTGCAAAACCGTTGACCTTTATTTGGGGCAAAATTCAGCACTGGTCTGCAGCAAGGGTCAACTATCCCGCTTGTCCACAAAATACCTGACAACAGCTTCCCGGCTCAGGGGCGATCCCCAGAGTTGGCTGATTTTTGTTATTTTGTTTTGTTTTTTTTTAAAAACGCACAGTGACGTTACTGCTGAGGACCAACTAGGACTGAAGGTCAGCTGATGAGGAGGCAGCAGCAGCATCTGACGGTCTGTCTTCACCGGAGCCTCCCGGCTGCCTGCTGACCTCGGGAACGGGCATCCGGAGAAAGTGCTGCAGGGCCTGAGCCACCTTCTCTGGACAGATGTTGTAAACTGGATGAGTTGGTGCCTAATTGGTCAGAAGAAGAAAACAAAAGATTTGCGAGATATTTCGTTTGTCGCAGTATGTATTTTTTTTCTTATTATATCCCATTAGCTGCAGCACTGATGTGGGTGGAACTGCAGTTTCACTATTATGATGCAGTTTTAACATTTTCATCACAGGAAGCTGCCACCATCCACCGAGACTGTTTTATTGATTTATCTGAGAATTGCACACCACAAAGAAACCCACTACACTTTGAGCTGAAAACACCATAGCTCAGGCACTTTAGGGATACAGTTTGAACCTGGCTGCTGTTTTAACCTACGAGCCGATATGCATATGCATGTGCAAGGGGAAGACTTGCTGTAAACAGCTGTCAGTGCCAGTAATGCAACAGCAAACAGAAAAACAAAACCAAAACCAACTGCCGCGGCCTTTACGTGCAACCACACGTGTCATTTCAGTAGCTTCAATTTTTTTTTCTTTTTTATAAACCCCACTTATTGTAGAGCATCTTTCAGAGCTTCTCATTTTATAGCTCGCTCATATTAAACCTGACTGCACTGCACTCGATAGTCAGCACGGGAACACCTTTGAGGCGTTTTTGACTCTTTATGCAGGTGCGTGCAGATTAAACCATGGCTGATAAAAGAAAACCAGTACTTTAATTATTTACTGCATGGTGATGAAATGAAAGGGTGCAAAAAAACAAGAAAAAAAGAAGCAGCAGTTACCCTTAAAGAGACAATTATACTGTTAGCTTCAATAGCTAAAGCAAGAATATTTAAGTTTCCCAGTTTTAGAGATACTGGCTGCAGAAAAATGTGCAACTTCTCTTGAAAATAATGGGATTATAAACCAAAAACTGCCCAAAAAGAAAGAAAAAACAAAAATAAAATACATATAAAATGTAGTGCAGAAATCATGTCCTGGTTATAAAAAATAAAAATTGCCAACCTTCTTAAGCAGTTTCCCGTATGAGCGATTATCTCTGCAAGCAGCCGTGTCACTGTGCACAGTTAGTTCTCATCTACTCATGAAGAGCCGCTTGTGTTTGCAACTGCGTGACATGATATAAAAACCTGTATACATACATAATATTTGAGCTCTATTGTTGGTATTTCAGTTTTTGATGCAAAAAGGTCCTAAAACATTGTTTTATTTTAAATGAAACCACCTGATTTAATGCAGAGTTTTCAGCCAAGACTGACACAGACCTTTAGGAATGAATAATGCCATCAAAAATCTACATATGTCGTTAGCTACCATTTCAGACTTGAAACAATTAACAGTAATGTTAATCTCTTTAAACTGCTCAGGAGTTAATTAGTGTAACTCGGTGAGGACTCCGCCCTAACATAACAGCCTTTGGAAAAGCACCTTTTCTGTAAAACCTGTGAATGCTTTAATATGTGTTTCTGTCAAACATGTTCCACAGTGTCCTGTCAGTGGGTCTGCTACAGTCTGAATGACAGAAAACTTGAGATCAAACGGTGACCAGGAGGGTTTGTGCAGACGCTTGCGACCCCAGCGGTTTATTATGATCGCATGGACTCATCTGCTGAGGCATTATTATGCACTAGCTCCACATGCGGTTTCTCATGGCTGCTCTGCTTTTACCACTTATGCTGGACATCCTGCGGTCCCACTTGAGTCCGTTTTCCAAACTGACAGTGAATTGATGACTTATCAGAAAGCCTGTTCTCAAACCTCTGTGCTCTTTGGGAGCCTTGTTGTTGATGTCACTACAAATGCCCTGCATCCCAACTCTAAATGGAGCAGCTTGTACATTCGTTGCTCTCTTCAGCTTCAGCTGCTATTTCATTCTATTTCAGCTTTTTCTGTTCGTGCGCTTCACCCACCGCATTCTTTAATGGTACCGTTTGTTCCACGAGATTTGGCCCGGCCTACGAGCAGGTACTGGGATCTCTGGTGGAAAACTGAGCTTCTGATCCAAGTCAGCCTGCATCTTCCAGTCCTGGACAGTATCCAAGAGTATAGCTCCCACTCTTGCAGACTGATTTGCTATACGTTTACCTGCTCTCATATATGCGGTCGGTGCTTACAAGTCCAGGAACAGGGGAAGGGATGACATTCGGGTAATTCTTGTTCTAGGTCTAGGATGACCGCCAAATAACGATGGATGCAAAGCTCTTAGCAAGAGCAACGTACATCCGTGTGTTTCTCAACCATCCCCTTCAGGGTCTCCACTAATGATGACTGAGACCTCACAGAGTTATTCAGAAAGCCAAGGTGGGTCAGACACATGAGTGTGCACTGATTATCTAATCTAACTCTGAGCGAAACAGGAAGGTAGAGTTAGAACTGTAGAACAGCTCATTTAGGATGACATGTTTTAACTGAATGTAAAGACCAGCTTCTGACTCCACTCCCCAACAAGTAACATGTCCTCTATGTAAAATATTTATTACACCCAACATTTGTCAAAGTTTCATATAATGTATATCTTTCATTCTCACCAATCTATTCTCCTCCTTGCCGAGGATCACCTCATAATGGTTGTCCATGTTCCCAAAGTGCTGTGCTATGGAGAGGCCGCTGAGGCAGTAACACGTGTGGTAAAAATCTCTGGACCTGGACATACCAAGACAATAAAACAGGGCAGTGATGTAAAAACGCTACGCATGAGTAAAGCTGTACAAATATGTAGTGTGTGTGTGTGCGCTCAGATGGTGTGGTACTGACTTGCCAGGCTTATCCAGAAGGCCTCCTGTTGGGTTTTGACAGCACAGGAGGATGTACTCCTGCAAGGCCTGCTGCTCAAACATCCACCGCTGCTGACTCAGCTCTGACTCTCCTGAGCAAACACACAGGTCAGTCACAAGAGGGGAAAAAAAAAAAAAACCCAACAAAAAAAACCCAGGATGATCCCACAGAAAATTCAGACTTCATTTTCAACATGAAAATGTGAACACCTGGCTATTTCCAGTTTTAACATTTTAAAACCCCCCACAGAATAACAATACAAATTAGTCAAAATCTAAAGAAAAATGACCTCCTAACCACATATTCTCTAATTTTCTGATTTACATTTTAGAACGAAGGACTGCTTCACGACAAACCTCAAGATTTTGACACTGATAAATCTATCACTCACTATTCAAAGAGTTTTGGGTGAAAAACGACTAAAACTGGAAAAATATTCTATCTTTGTTGCACTGACATTCATTCAGATCAGCTGAAGTCAGTGGAGACTTGCTGATATTATCATTTCAAATAATTCTGACCAAAAATCACGCTTTGCTAAATTGGTTTTCCTTGTGCCGCTTGATGCTACGGTGATGAGACCTTTCCATTTCGAACTGTTTTAAGAGTTTAGGGTCAAAATGTAAAGGCACCTTCTTTGTATAAGGCTCTATGGAGTAAAGGCAGGAGTCCAGCTTGCCAGAAAGAGTAGCAGCCGTCCACTAGTTTATTGCAGCGGCCTTGGAAACCTCCTTCAAATCGCATCTGCCTGCTGACCACCCAACGCTGAGGAGGAAAGGTGACAAACACACATTTAAATACGCTGAATTAACAAACAAAGCATGTAGAACTCAAGAACTTCTACTCCTGCACCATCGAGAGCGTCCTGACGGCAAACATCTGCACCTGGTTTGGGAACAGCACCAAGCAGGACAGACGAGATCTGCAAAGGGTGGTGCGCTCAGCCGAACGCATCAATCAGAGCTCCCTGACCTGCTGTCCATCTACACCAAGCGGTGCAAGTCCAAAGCTAGGAAGATTATGATGGACCTCTCCCATCCCAACAATGGACTCTTCTCACTGTTGAGGTCTGGGAAGCGCTTCCGCTCCCTTAAGGCCAAAACAGAGAGAATGAGGAGGAGCTTCTTCCCCCAGGCTATTCGGGGCCTGAACCAGGTGTAGGACTGGACTCTCCCAAACACTTCACTTAAAGACTGGACTCTCACACACGTCACCACACGCACCACCACACATTTCCTATAATTCCTATAATCTTTATAATCTCTTCTGCTATTTGCACATTCTTTACTGTAAATTCCTAAGTTAATTTGTAAATTCTGTAGTAAACTGTAAATTGTAAATATTGTAAAACTTTTCTTCTGTCATTTAATGGTCGGGCATTGTACAGCTACAAGCATTTCACCCCCATGTCATACTGTGTATGGTTGTGTGTGTGTGACAAATAAAATTTGAATTTGAATTTGAATGTACTGCATGTGTTTGTGTCCCTTTAGCTCTGAGTGGAATCGCATGTATACCAACAGCTGAAAACCTCACAGGGTAAGACGAGACAGGAGGCAGGAGCGGACCAGACGGGACCTGATATTTTTCAGAATAGGAACGATTTAGAAAACTGCTGCCATGGAAATTGCCAACTGGTACAATCCAGTCCAATAGGACTGAATAATTATGGGATATTGGAGTTAATACCAGCTCCACTCTGGAAGAAGGGGTGGGGGGTTAATCAATATGTGTATTAAACTACTGCACATCAGTTGCTACGAAGCAAACGTGGGAAAGAAGTATTTGAAATTATTTAATGTCTCATATTAAACTTTATTAAGCTGTATGGAAAATTATTGCATTTTATCTCACAACACAGACAGTGATATGTGCACCGGTGATCAGTAAATTAACGTTGGAGTATCCACCTAAATTTGATAGTGAGTATGTGTGTTTTGTGCAAATTTCCTTCAATTCATATTTTCTGTTATTTATTTTTCCACATAATTCCTCATTAAGTCACAGGGTACCATAGATGCTTCAAACATGCTACTGCTTTAGCTTTAATTTCACTGCATCTGGACGCTGAGATAAAAAAAATATATATATTGAACTTTGATTTGCTGCAGTGGTGGAGAGCGTTAAAATGGCTCTGAAAATTCTGCTGTTTACATAGAGCATCAAATTATCACAATGTATTTGATTTATGATGTGCATTGCATAAGTTAAGGAATTTGTAGGAATATCATTTGTGTTCTTTAATAACCAGCAAGAGCAGACTAAGAAAAAGAACATCATGATGTGTCCCCTTTTCTGTGCACTTGTGCTACAAGCAGCTGGCGTTCATGTTGATGGAGCAGAAAATAATAGTTGAGCAGCCTGCACTTTTTTGAGGAGTGGAGATTACATAACTGTCATTTTTATTGCACAAAAGGACAAGAACGTAACAGTGAAGCACAAAGTACACCCAGGCCAGAAAACGATCCACTCTAGCTAACGCAAAATTGAACTTTGTGTTAGCACGCTGGCTTTGCAGGTGCTTACAAAGCTCACAGAGTGAGTGTGTCCTGTACCCAGCCCAGCAGCCAGAGCCTTCAAGAGGTAACAGAAGCAGTGACGCCTGTAACATTTCCAGCCTCCATTTGTACCTCTACATGTTTCTACACCAGATGAAACTAAACTGCAACACATTTTTATTTGAAGTGCTCTTTGGACCAAATTTGCTCTCAACTTGGTGCACACACACAAAAAAAAAACTGTCATTTTGTTCTGGTAGCAGCCCTGAAATATAATAGAAACTGCTCAGTTAAGAAAAGAGAAACAAGGGTTAGTCCTAGTGAGTGTCCGTGGGCGAAAGAGTTAATAATGTGAAAATACCCAGGCCATGTAACACAAAAGCTGCTGATCAATGGCTAGGTTATTGGGGGAGCAGCCTAAACAAAGTCAACCCACTCCACCAGTTCTTCTGCATGGACACCAAGGCATTCCAGCTGAGAGATGTAATCTCCCCAGCATGTCCTGGGTCTGCTCTGCCCCCCCCCCTTAGGACATGTTGGAACACCTCACCTCAGAGTCACCCAAGAGATACTGGAGGAGAGTCACCTGAATGAACAAGCTCCCCACCTCTCTCTTTTAAAGGTTAGAGACTGGCCACATATGTAGTCATCCAAATTTGGATGAGGGAACTAATGGGTGTTTGCGTGCCACAGAGGCAAATTTTAATTAGTGCACCTTCAAAAGGTTTTAAATGTCTTAATCATGTGAGAAGTGGCCGCCTTTACCAAAGAAAGAAAAATGCAAGGCAAAGAAATAACGCGGCTTGCGGTAAAATGAGTATATTTGCCTGGTTGTTCACGGATTTAATGAATTCCTAATGAGAATCTGGACTATGATCATCACAAGATCATTAATAGATCCCCGTGAAAATAAACAATGACACCACGTAAATATGAAAGTTGTTCATTGTGAATTATCTATGTATCTCAGCGTTAATGATTTATGCATTCTCTCACATACAATTTTTAGGTTATGACTCGAGTTGTGCAGCGAGCGAGTCTCGCTGCTTTTGATATTCTCCACCTGGTTTCAACTTACAACCTTTGCTAACCCGCCGCCTTCAGTCAGAGCTATATGCCGGGCGTCTCTGAGGGACGGACAGTGACACACAACACCTTAGAGAGCGCGCTCTGTTGACCTGCCACTTGAGCTGGGTGTTGGGTGAAAATAACTAACGTTGTTTAAAGGTAGAGGGACTTTAGTGCACGCAGGTGTGGAAACAGGTTTACTTCACAGTTACATGCAAATGTGATCACACAGTATTTGAATAAAAGCTAAGGGATGATGACATCAAGTGTTTTATGAGCTCAATAAAATATAAAAAACTGCTGCAGACTGGCCTTCTGGTTACAGCCTTATCATTTTATCTTCTCAGGATGACCTCAAGCTTTGTGTCAGCGAGCATCTGCCCCACTGCAGCTTCCCTGAGCATGACTCAAAAGCTCGACCTGCATCAAAGCTAAAGGGCAGCTGCTCCTAACCTTTTACTACTAAGGAAGAAGGGAAATGAGATTTCCCTGAGGGGAGAAACAAAGCATCCCAACAGTTGCAAAACAAAAACTAATGTAAACCTCCAGAGTGCTCCGAGAGTAACTACATGCACAGATGTTTATTCCACAGTACAGAAAGAGTGATTGAATACACGGAAGCACATTATGGTGCAGCTAAACACGTAAAGAAGTCATAAAAGGAACATCGGCAGTTTTAGTAGATTCAGGAAGAGTGTAACCCGTGTTTTTCATAGCTCCAGTTTACAGATGTCTCCTAAACAGCTCACATGCAGGTCATTATTAAGTTACTCCTGTGTAAAGAGGACAGCTACAAGGACTCGGCGAATGCGTTTGTGTAATTGTGCCAGTTTAAACGAGTCTGTGAAGAAAGAGCAGGTTGCAGTTTTCCTGGAAACTGCTTCAAACAAATTATGAGTAACTTATCACAGAAACCAAACATAATCAAACTATCAGAATAAGGAATTTTTTAAAAGCTAAACATTTCTAGGCTGCTCTGCCTAGGTGACATCAATAAATTCAGGCCTCCTCTTTTAGCAAACAGCAGTAACATTCACTCTTTAACTTGGGACCCGCTCACTTCATGTAATCTGTGGTTATTTTGTTGCTTGAAGTCACTGAATACTTATTTCCTTTTAGTACTTCATGATGAAGTTTGCATTACTGCGACGTGCGATTGTGCACAATAAAAGTAACATGTAGTGTAAAGATGTATGCAAGGACAGTTCCTGAGTGACTAATTTTGGGTTTTTCTCACCTTTATTAGATAGTTTTCAGTAAAGAGCAGACAGGAAAGATGCCCAACAAAAGAGTCAAACCCAGCCTGCTGCATTTGGTCTTGCATTATCTGCTTGCCTGCTCAACTACTGAGCTAAACCAGCACCTGACGTTTGGCACTTTTTGTGAATGATTAACTTGGGAATTAGAGGCCTGTAGATGCATTAAAGACAGGAAAGATGCCCAACAAAAGAGTCAAACCCAGCCTGCTGCATTTGGTCTTGCATTATCTGCTTGCCTGCTCAACTACTGAGCTAAACCAGCACCTGACGTTTGGCACTTTTTGTGAATGATTAACTTGGGAATTAGAGGCCTGTAGATGCATTAAAGTCAGTAAATATCATCACAAAGATAGTAAGTATGAGAAAAGCTTAACAATAAGTGGATCAGATTAATGTTTGTCGAATAGGAGAAGGAAAGACTGACATAGAGAGATTTCTCCACATTTTTCAGAAGATGAAATTTTGTTGTGAGTTGCAACATTGTATTTGATTTTTAATGACATTTTGTACTTGCTTCGTCACAGAACTGAGCACCCAACTTTGAAAGCGATAAAACTTTAGCACAAAGCCCCTGTTGTGACTGACAATGATAGCATCTTTTTCTGCTGTTGGGACACAGACTGAGCATTTGAGGTTACAATAGAGAGGAAAAGGCGGGGAGGGAGGATGTGCTCACCAGCAAGGCTTTCAGATCCAGCATGTGTTCTTTGCCCAGGATGACAAGGGCGGCTGTACCACAGAACGTGTAACCGCCGTGTGCCTCCAAACCCGGTACTCCACTTAAACCACCCTCCCAGTTCTGACAGCTAGAAATCAGAAAACCATGTAGTTAAAAAACAAAAAAACCCATACACTGGATTATGTAAAAAAAAGCAGGACAAAAATGCTCTTTAATAATTTACTCAGAGTGCTGTGGTCGGTTGTTGTACCTGAGAATCCAGTTGGTTGTGTTTTCAAACAGTTTAGGTGTGAGGATGTTTGTGAGCGATGCTACCGAAGCTGCACAGTATGCACTCCTAAAAAAGCAGAAAAAACAAATCAGGCTGATAAAGATCACGATAAAGTTGAGAGGGAGCAGGAAGCTCTCGCTAAACATCATCATACTGTGTTTTAGGCTGCCAGCAGACCAAACAAACATCCAGTTTGCCATTTATGTTCCCCTGCTGTTCAGTCACAGTCATTTTGACTGTTACATATTTTGTTTCCCTGCAATGTTGAGACTGCAAGGAATCATAACTAAACTAGAATTCAAGAAAGGTGTTTTTTAAATCTTTGATATTGTCAATAAATCACTTGAAAAGCTCAGGTATCAGACGTGCATAAAACTCCTTATTTGGTTGCAGAGATCGTCCAAAAACTCAAAAAGTGTTATATAAATAATCTTCTATCTTTATGATGAACACCTTGGCTATAGTTCATGTGGGTTCACAAAACTATGTTAACTAAATAACTAGAAAGAAAGACTGTTTTAATAATTGGGGTTTATTTGATTTCAATTTCTTTCAAATATGATATAAAAGTTGAACCGATGTGCTTATGTGTGCTGGGAAAAACCTTAAACCAGGTTTGTAGAAAGACAAGTTACTTTTTTTCCTGTTAAGATGTCGAAACAAAACAAATCTGGAGCAACTATGTGATGTTATCACGTTAATATGGACCAGAATCTATGGAAAAGGTTTCCAGCATCTTGTTGAATCTATGAAACAAAAAAGGCAAAACAGGATCCAACCTGGAACTGGCAAGCTGTACCTAATAAAAAGTTCCCCTAGAATGTATAAGCCACTTTTTGTTGGAGTACTTTCATCTGGAAAATACATTTAGTGCTGCTCGTGAACAGTGACAGCAGCCAGACTTGTTCGTGGTAATTAAATTGAATGTGTGTTTTTTTTTTAAAAGCTAAGCTATATCAGACTTCTAGCAAAAACAGTGAAAACACGAATAAGGCAACTAAATCTTTGCATAACACTGTATATCACCACACTTACACTAACATCAAATCAGAAAATCCTGTAATTACAACCCCTAAAAAAAACTTTCAAAATAAGGATAACTTTGTTGACAGTTTAGAAAAATGTGACACAAAATGGTTTATCAAAAACTGAATAGCAAAACCTGCCTAAGAGAAAGACAGTTTTAGTAATACATAACGGCACCTCGATGCTAATTGGTTGGAAACAGATATCAGGCTCCTCTGAGAATGAAAAAGTACCTTCTGAAGTTCTTTGTTCAAAGGAAACTGAACCTCAAAGAACAAAACAAAAACATAACAAAAAGCCCCACATAACAGCCTCAAAGAGGAAAAAGCACACACACACATCCGAAATGAGATAAATCCACTATTATGTAAAAGAGATGTGGGCATTTCTCATTATTTCCCCTGTTATCAACACTAAAAGAAAACACAGGAGAATATAAATACAAAGCAGAGTGTGCTTAAGGGGAAATTAGCCTTCAAAAATGACCCCTTTACTGTGATCAACACAGTATGGACACCAAAGATGTTTGGTGTCCAAGCAGTCATCAAAGATGTAGTTAACGATATAAATTTTCTTATGTGATGAAAAGCAAATTCTAAAAAATAAAAACCTACAGAAAAACACAAGGATAGAGGAATCAGAATTTATCTTCTGGGGCCTCACCTGACATCCACCTCTCCACCGACGTGCATCACAAAGGAGCCATCTGGCTGCTTCACTGACCACAAGAAATCTAGCAGCTTCTCCCTGGAGGAAGTCAAAACAGAAGGGGGAGAAGGGTTGATTAGAAACAAGGATGAGTTCATGGTGTAAAGAGGAGGAGGAGGAGGCGCTGTAGATGGAGTGAAGAATAAACAGAGGAGAGAGAGGGCAGGGGGTGGAAGAGTAGGTGCTGCAAATTTAATAAAGCACTAATGCAAAGTCAACACCCGCTGTCTAAATCTGCGTCGCTGCGAAGAAACGGGAATCGCTGCTCGACTGTAAACACGCAAAGCGTCACCTTTTCTCCATCACGCAGAGTCAATTAGGAGAAAAATAACTCATGTAAACAGTGTTTCGAAATGGTCTTATAATGAGCTGCTGGTTAAATAACATTAACATGATCCGTAGCTGCGACAACCCCCTCCAACTGTAAGAAAATGTGTTATAGTGGTTATAGCATAGGAGGGAAATTCAGTTACACAAACAAATTTAAAGGCGTAAATTATGAATTTCAATTACACAGCCACAGTTTATTTTCATCTTTATTTGTCAGAGAACAAACTGCACAAAAAGATTCATCTCATAGGATAACTGCAAGCTAATTCCAATCTAAAGCCCACAGGCATGTGGACACAATATTAAATAGCCTATAAAATACAAATAAATATCCAAGATACAATAAGAGCACTGTAATAAACTATGCAAGTCTAAAAGAAATCCAATAAATATCATCACATAAATTAGGGGTTGTCTGACATATTAATTTCAAACAAACTGAGCTGCTTTAACGGAAGCTGTTTTGTGTTTGTCATGTTGTCATTTTACCACCCTAGCAGCACACTGTGTGATCATACCTGTCTATAACATTATAGGCCTCATCTGTGCCGATGATGCAGAGGGCGTTGACGGCAGCGTAGGTGGGTGCAAGGTGGGCGTGTTGCCCCGGTCCCCCGGCAAAACCCCCTGTTGGGCTTTGACAGCGTGCCAGAAACTGACACACACTGGAGAGCAAAGATACAGAGGTTATAATATCATTATTTATTTAATATACAAACTGACAACCACAAAGAGCAGCCAAATGGTACTGCATGAATGTACTACAAACACCAGCATACTCTTTCTTACATGCAGGACTGCTGAAATTGCATGGCAGCAATAAAACACTCATTAATTGTATTGATAGTTTGAACAAATGTACTAGTCCACCACCCAAAGGTTTACCCCACAACTGCCCTAAATTAACAGTAATTGCCAAAAATCATATTAATGTTTGTAAAGGCTAATCCAGCAGCAATAATGCTAAAATATAATTACTGTTTTTAATCAATTTTCAAATTCACTGTTTTACTATTTTTTTCAGCTTTTTTGTAAAACACATAATTTATTTATTTATTCGTTTGATTAAGACGGCAAGTTACAGTTACCATTTACCTCAGATCTGTGTCAACACCCAAAGGGTTCGCAATTTTTGGCACGTTTAGGCAATCTGCAGAAATGTATGTTTGCACAGATAATGAGTTTTGATGCTCACTTCCTTGAGTTACACAAGATATTGACACGATTTCTAAAAATAAATAAATAAATAAAAATAATGCTGATATCTAAATACTATTTTTAGAACCAAATATTAGAACCAAGGAGGTGTCAAGAAATGGGGATCACAGCCATGTCGTATGTTGCAGTTACACATCTTTAATCACAAAAACATTTACTACCAGTAATTTGTCAGTGTAGTTCTCCTACATGCTTTATAGCTTTTTTTTAAAAACAGTAAGTGGCCCATTACTGTGGCATGGATAGTGTATTTTTTAAACATTATAGTCTTCAATCTTATTGCAGTTTTCTGCTTCTAATCACTGCATTGCAATGTTTTGCCGTAAACCAAGGCTAACAGTAGAACCTTCAGTAGAAAGGTCTGTTAGCAGCTGCAGATATCAAATACCCAATGTGACAATCAAAATGATATGAAGGTGACGATCACGTTGCTTTTGCATAGAAATGATTAGAAACCATGATTACTTGCATTAGCACATTTTTAGAATATCTTTCATAGATAAAGGATGTGGTATGAGGCTGATAAGCACAAAAATACGTCATAAATTACTCCACTTGGTCATCTGAGGGTCAAGTAATCCTGTACAATACAGATTCCAGTCTGTATAAGTATGTACGTATAGCAGCTTTTCTTTCTGTTTAAAAGTTTGACGCTAATTATTTCACCTGACTTGAACAAACCACTTTTTCTGCACGCTACACAGTTTCCATTTACTAAATAATCACAGCTCCTATTTTCTATCTCAGACCGGCAGAAAGTTGGAAGGCTATAAAACACGCTCCACTGGGCTATTTCACTTTAGCTGACGTGTCATACTGCATAGACCAACTCTACCACAGGTCCCTTTCTTTCCAGCCTCCATGCACCACGCTGCTTTGCTCACAAATGTCCTCTTCATCCTCCGCCATGGAGAAAAATAATAAAACTGTAAGAGTGCTTTGAGCCAAGTGAGTTGGAAGGGAAGCCCACTTTAATTTTGGCCAACCGGTCTGGTGCCAACACTGACCTGAGAACAGTGTACACTTCATAAACCAGAGAAAGCAATCTCTTGTAGGTTGCATTGTTATAGATCGTTGAACAGGGCCAGTGTTTTTGTGTGTGTGAGCACAAAGCCATCACGTTGGTGCCCGGGCAGTGCCAGCCGGTGTGCTGGCACGCCTCACGGTTATAATGAGAGCGTGGGCTGGCAGCCTGGAACGGCGACTCGCTACGTGGTTTGCAGAGTGCTACTTTGACTGGCAGTAATTTAATCAAATGACATTTTGGTGGCAGTGAGAGCAACAGTGTTTGAAGCCGTGTCAGCATAAAAAAAAAAGTACTTATAAGTACACCTGCCAGTCATGCACAATGTTGTCATCACTTTTAATCACACATATCAGGCATAATAACTCTTGGAAAAACCTTCATTTCACTGCTTCAAACATCAACACCCCAACTTTTTATTACTGCGAGTTTTCTATTACAGAGAATAAATTAAACTCCTTGAAGTTGGCTATGGAAACAAGGACAAGGGATGATTTAACAGCAAAGCCCAGGCCAATGCTGCAGCTGGACAGGAAAAAAAAAATAATGGTCATTATATGGTAATTTAATCAACATCTTTCATCTCTTACCACTTCTGGTTCTGTTTTATAAAATGGTGACTTGTGTTTTAGGAAGGGAGCCAGAGGATAGGAGGAGTTTACAGTAACATTGGTACATGTAATGTAGTATAATGTCTGCGTCCAACACCCTGAACCCTCTTGAATAGGTCGCCCGGTGGGAGAAACCTGTCTACAAACAATTGCAGTCTGACTCGCACTGCTGGCACTTGATCCCCTTCAATTCATAACAGTCAGATTCCTGACACGCTGCAGTCAGTCAGAGTCAGTCTGCACCAAGGAGTGTATCCCATGTGTGACATGGACATGGCTCTTTGCAATCGGGGATTCGACTGAACTGGCTGCCAACTGGTTGCATTCTGGTTATATAAAAATAAGGTTGCTGAGCACTTAAACTGCCATCTTGCAGGAACTACATCACTATTTTGGGGGGAAATTTTGGGTCCAGATCTATGAGGTTCCAGCTAGACCAGCGGTCCCCAACCTTCTTTGCGCCACGGACCGGTTTATGCCCGACAGTATTTTCACGGACCGGCCTTTAAGGCGTCACGGATAAATACAACAAAATAAAACCAGTACCGGTACCGAAAAAAAGAAGATTTATTCATAACACATGTGAAAAGACCCAGGAAAACCGAGTTAACGATAAAAACGATAACAAAATACCGATAAAAACCCTGAACCATACATTTCACACCTGAGCCTCAACTCTCGCGGCCCAGGGGTTGGGGACCACTGAGCTAGAAGTAGTTAATATGAATTTTTCTGTAGGTAGATGGCAACAGAATTGCAGTGTTTACAATATGTCACAGTTACAAATGAATTTTAAGTATCTGCCAACTTCAATCACAAACTGACAGCAAGTGGTCACAGACCTGGTCCCCATTTTCAAAGCAACCGTTTCAAAGGCAACAAAATCACAAGTTCACACTCATTTTGTTTGTGCCTCAGTATCCAACTGCTGTTTGCCACAGTGTGACTGTAGCGTAAGGAATAAAGTATAAAGGACATTTTAATTGAGCTAATAATCTCTTTTTATTGTGTATAACCTGAGACATAGGAAGAGCTAGTATAACTGTATTCTGTACAGATGTAGTCTGATCTTCCAACTTGTTTTAAGCAATATAACACGTTTAAACACATCTGGAGCATTTTAGAAAAATATGTTGAAATTTTGGGTTTATTCATATGTACAATTATACAAATGTGCATAGCCCCTGGGTTTGAGAACTGAAGCAGATGCCCTAAACCTGCATTCTTTTTCAATGGCCTCTATAGGAAGTCTGAGGGAAAACAGCCTCAGGTTCCTAACTCTGTGACATTTACCACTGTACTTATAGGGTGGTCGGTAATTTCAGATCATATGAAATAAGATAAACTACATTATGTTCATTATTGGAGCCAGAAAGGAGGATTATCCTGCTCAAAACTGTAAACCGTCTCCTTTTTAGGGCCTAGTTTAACGTAAGAGTTTGCTACTACTACCAGAAGGGGGCGGTAATGTGTCTACAAGCTGTCTGCAAACTACCAATGATCAACCATAACAGAAAAACACCACTTCCCTAGCTACCAGGAGGTGGACCTGAAAGTTGTGTGTGGTTATATTAGATTTTGCTATACAAAAGAGAAAACTGCAAAGCAAAAAAAAAAAAATGCAGTCATCAAGGATGTTGTGTAGAAATCTTTAAAAAAATAAATGAAAATGAAATCCACTAAAAAACTCTGTTAAGTAAAGCTAGCATATCACAACTATATCATATTTCTACATTTACTATTTATGGATATTTATAAATAAAGGGCGGTGGGGTATTGGTGGGTGGCATCTTCAACAAACCTGCTTTACTGCAATAATTATGAGAACTATGCAAAAAGCAATAAATAACAAAATTCGTTGGCAGTGCACGGGTATTATTTGGCTCCACTCTGTTGTCGTGTGTGACTCACTCTGAGGCGACGGCAGCAGGAATGGGCTCCTGTAGTAACTCCAGACTGTGAAGAATCCAGAAGCAAAGCCACGGCCGGCTAGCATCCAGACACTACTCGCACAGACACACACACACAAAATCAAATGGGCATCACATGACCGATTACAGCTATAAATGAGATTGTGAGATCAGCCAGTCAGAGGCACAGATGAGAGAAAAACAACTCTGCCAGACACACAAGGGACAGGAGGAGGAAAATGATGGGAGTGAGCCACACAGAAACATCATACAAACTCATTTTCTGCAGTTGGTAAATGGACTTTATGATTATGTCTGCCATTTATGATGCAAATATTAGTTGTGTGATGCTTTTTGTGCTGATTTTATTACATATAATTCAAACTCAGTTTGTTCTCTTTAGCACTGCGTACACTTAACTACACAAATTGGCTGTCTGCCTGCTTTTGTGTGATCAAAGGAAACTCCACTGAAATAATGAAGGTACTGAGCCGAAGAAAAGGTGAAACACAAATGCTTTTCTCTCTTCTGGCTAGAGTAACAAAAAGCACACACATTAAAAAAGTAAAAGATTTTAAAAAAGCAGTGACTTTGCCAGAAGCAGACAACTATATTTTTTTGGCCAATTGAAAATTGCAGCATTTCTATTTAAAGCAGAGGATAACAATTCGGCATTTTTCCAGAGGCAGTGAGATTTGTGTCGTACTGTTCAGCACACGATATTAAGCACACACTCACCAGCCACTTTGTTAGTTACACACTTAAGCTATTTGCAAAATTGCTAATGCAAATAGCTAATCATTCAAACAATGAATGTGGAATGGTTGTGCCAGACCAGCTGATCTGAGTATTTGAGAAACTGCTGATCGACTGGAATTTTCACACACAATCTTGCGCTGTAGGGGAACAGGAGATTCTCATCATGGATGTGCGATGGACAAAACTGCAGCAATTGTGTGATGCTATCATCATAATATGGACTAAAATGTCTGAGCAATGTTTCCAGCACTGAACAGCTCAGCTCAGAAGGCAAAAGGAGCACAACTAATAAAGTGGCTGATGAGTGTAAATACAACGCCTACTTTGATTGAAATACAGGTTTATAAGAAAAAATAAAACTACATCTACATATCTACAACACATAATTTGTGTGCGTTTTCTTTATTTATTAGTAATTTACTTTACCTCATAAGCATCTGATAAATGACGTAAGCCCTTCTTGAGATACTGGTAGTGTTGTTCCCGCAACAACGTTGGCCTGAAAAACAAACGAGGGACAAAAAGTTAAATGTCAAACAACTTGGAAATTTTTTTTAAAATAAATAAAAACAAAATCAGAAAAGTGTCAGTACTCATAATTTCAAAACTTAGACACACAATTCACTTGTTTTTCTAACATTTGTAAGTTTAAATTTTAAAAAAAGAAGAACTGATTTATGTGTCAAAAATTAATTATTCACCAGGTAGCCCAAAATCTGAGAAACACAAATAAAATGATCGTCTACGCAAGGGTTTGTGATCAAACTCTGCATTATTTATTCACTCGTTTCAGATATTCAGATCCTCAGCAGTCTAATTAGCGACTTCTGTTTATTTCCTTCCTTATTTTTTATTCACTTTCTATTAGGAGAGCTTTGAGGCCTGTCCTCATTAAGAACAAAAAGAAAAAAGAAACCAAAGCCAGGCAAACCAAAACATCAGCTTAGCCTTTCAAGTTTTAAAGTATTTCTCAACGAAACTAAAAAAAAAAAAGAAAAAGAAAAGAAAGTCATCATGTCTATCATATTTTTCAGCACTGTGTTTTTTTTAATTTGTTGTTGATAGATTTTTATGCATAAAACTCTTAAAACTATCTAGGGAGCAGCACCACAAACCACCCATTAATGCTGTGGTATGTGATACTGGTCCATATCGTATTCTTATCCCGAATAAACATCAAATTAAATTGAGGTAGACATATATATAATATATAGGAAATTAAGGCAAAAACAAATAAAAATAAACATATGAATGAAAGAATGCCTTAAAACACTATAACAGAATGACAGAAACTAAGGAGCCGCATAGTTAATCTTTAAATGTTTGAAGGAAAATTCAGTCTGCAGCTCTTCATAAACATAAGTCTGACTATATATCTGCATCAATGACAACTGATACCCACCCACTCTGATTCTCTGCTTGACCTTTCCACACAGTGTTCGCTACACCTGTTATAATATGCGCTTTCTACCAACACAGAATGAGTCACAGATCACTACATGACAGAAGCAGAGCTCCACATCTAAAACCTCATCTGCCCACCACACAAATATATGTTCAACCCACCCTTTTAAATGCTGAGAGCTCGACAGGCTACACGCAAGTGTACACAACGAAACCAAAAATTAGTGAACGAAAGAAAACAAAAAATACAAAATGTACAAACAAAAATACAACTAAAAAGATAGGGGGAAAGAACAAATTAAAGAAATAAATGAATGACCAAAACAAATAAATAAATAGAGCAAAAGAAAAAGAAAACGAATGACCAAATGATCGAAAAGAAATTAATGAAAGAATAAAAGCTATGGAAAAAAACAGTGAATAAAAGAAGGAGAGAAAGACTAGATAGAAAGAATAGAAGAACTAAAAGAGAAAGAAAGCACATAAAGAAAGAAAAAATATTACAGGCAAATTCTCTAAAGAAATAAACTAATGAAGGAAAGAAAAACAAACAGCGGAACAAAAAATGAAGGCACAACAAAAAGATATTTTTACAGATTGCTGACATTGATTATAGGTTTCGTCGACCCAGCTAATTCAAAGAACTTGCCAAATTTGCTTTGTCGTACCCCCATCAGGACATTTCTGTTAGAGCTTGTAGCTGTGGATCCCTTAACCAGAGGCGCTGAGGGTTAAGACCCTACTTTCAAATCCCTCCTCAAAACTTATTCTTACAGAAAGTAATTTTTAATAATAAAAATGTTCTCATTCCGCCTTTATTTATTCTTAAATACTTCATTTTACCCATCCTGTAAATCACTCACTGTTTTTATATTTCATATGATCCATTTATTATGTCCTATAAAGCACTTTGCAACTATGTTTTAAAAAGCGTATCTAAAAACTTTAAATCTCCCACCTGTTTGAGGTCAAGTCCCGGCCAAGGCTGAAAAAACAATTATCACCACTAAAAGCAGGACCTCAGCTGATGAATATCACGGATTCTTTAGTAGTACTAAAATGCATTTCTCCATTGGTTGCAGTACCGCTGACATTCACATCTAGCAGTTGTCATAGAAATGAGATGAGTCACCTCATTGAGAAGCGACGGCAGCTGATAGCAGAAGCAAACTACGTGGGCAGATCTACTCGCCGCTAAGATAACAGCCATCGTGCATCACAGTGCAGCCTTCTCTAATAGCAAACAAACAGCAGGTGTTTGTGGGTAAAAAAAACAAAAAACATAATAACATCTACGGCCAATAATGGTGTTCCTGTAAATGCCTCATAATGGCTGTTCATGTAGTCACCTTTATGAGTGACTGATGAATACGTAATTATTATTGCTATGGCTACACAACGTCTGGCCTACTTGTCAGCAAGAGTCTGAAAATGCACACTTTTCTGTCATAACCAGGCCAATTTAGTGTCCTGGTTTCAGGTAATGACTTTAACAATGTAGGAAACCAGGTCTGAGTCTTTAAAAAAAACAACAACAACAACAACAACAACGTAAGATTTTGAGATTTTTATAAAGAGACAAGGCAATTCTACTTTTCTGCTTCAAAAGAGTCACCTGACAAGGAACTCCAAAGAACCCATCCTGTCTCCTTTTTCAAACATCAACATTACCCATAAATGACACAATCCCACATATAGTGAAAAATACTTTGGGATGCACTGAAAATTGGTATTGGTCGACGTTTTCCTTACTGTCTGCTATCGGCCCATTGGCAAATAAATTGCCAATCAATGATGGCAGTGTTTATCACCTACATCCTTACATCTGTAATCTACTTTCCTCATTTTGTATGATGGAATGTGTGATTCTAAAAATGTACTGCAGTGTGAAGGAGGACTTCAAATTGTTAATTGTTCCCCTTGGACAAAAGGAGAAACAACCCCCCTCCTCCTTTAGCGGATATCCAAAATCTCTATAATGAGAGCTCATCACTCCCCGCAAACGGGATAAACATAGAAATTAGTGGGAGATGATTAAAATTCTGGAGCCTACAGGTAGATGTTGGTGCAGTTTAGGGATTGAAAATGTTGGCAGCAACACATGGCAGCATCAGCATTAACATGTCAGAGGGAGAGATGGGGATTTGCAGTTTAATTAAACATTCAAATCTGAAGGTGGTGTTTGATATATGAAGTGTGGAGAACGAGGCACATCACAGGCTGTAGTGGGCTGAGCTGTCTGCCTGAAAAAGCTCACAGACTCTGCTCCATTGTATTCTACAACACACTGCGGATACTTACTGTGGTAAGCTGTGTATTTGCTTGTAAACACTCATGACTTCTTGAATGGATTTCTCCACCTTTTTCTAAAAAAAAGAGAGAAAAAAAGCAGCATGTGATTGGTTGTTATGAAGCTTATTTTGAGGGGAAAAAAAACAAATTTTAGGCATTTCAGAAAACAGGATTATTTCCTATTTAAAAATCTGGACTAGCATCAGCCACAAAATCCAGAAAAGGTGCGATTGATGTGTAAACCCCTGAACATTAACAGCTCATGTGTGTTTTGTGGTCAAAACTGTCAACTCAATCAATTCAAAACATATAACCTCGTATTTGTGCCTTACACATGACCTATATTATGGAAAGTGACTGAAAGAGCGTGAGCTACTTTATCAACGTTAGCAGCCAGGAATATTTAAAACTTCTATCATAATAAAATGGGTAACTTTTGACATTATTTGTTCATGTATAGCTTAATTTAGACCAGGGATGTAAAACATATGACAAGTGGGTGAAAAAAGCCAGCCAAAGGGTCCAATTTGACCCTCTTGAGGGCTTTGCAATGTGTGAAATTTCTTGTGACATCACCAATAGTCACTACTCTTCCTGCTATGGGGATATGCTACAATATGCATACATTTCTGATTGTACTGTTTTTTTAAGTGTATGGTGTCATCAAAAGGGGTAAAAATCAGCAAAATTAGCAAAAGCAACAAGGCACCTAGATGGACACTGTCATTCCACCTGATTGAGTTTTATGTATGTTTGCAGAGACCAGAAACATAAATAGTACATCTTATAAGTTACATCATAACTCTAACATAACTATCATAATAGTTCTTTTAAACTATATATGACCATTTAACAGTGTACCTGTAACCTGTATCTTTTCATTATCTTTTTCTCATTGCATCTTTCTCCTCCTCTTCTTCATCTGCCTGATCCGCCATCACTGCTCTCATTTCCACCTCATTTCCTAAGACAGCCAGGTCTTCATTTGTTCACTTGGCACTTTTAAATGTTTTCCTAAAGTATGAACAAATTCAGGTACTAAAATATTGATAAATCACTGAATTGTGCATACCCACTGTAAGAGACAAACAGTGATTTTGACACCCTGGATTAAGATGTGTGTGCATGCTGCAGCAGCTGTCGCACCTTCCCACACAGACTCGAGAGAAAGATCTCTTCTGGATTGAAAATAGCAAAAACGTACATAACAATAATGTTTGCACCCCCCGAAAAAAAAGACATGAACTTTTTAGAAATGAGCAAAAACGGCAGTCTGAATCCTAGTTTCCTTTTTTATTGATGCAGTTCTAACTTGTGCCTTGACTGAAGTGATAACTGTTACTGGATCTGATCTAAAATGATTGCAGTGGAGTAACTTTCAAGAACAGTGCCCAGGATGCAGAGATGTTCAGACGCTGTCAGAAATTGACGTCTTATAAGGTTTTTTCAAAATAAAAGCCCTCTCCTGCTATCATGTTTTAATTGGGAAGAAACTAAAGACAAAGTTAGACTTTATGTCATGCCCAGGCTTAACTATTTTAATTAGTTGGCTAGCAGCTAGCTACATTCAAACTTAATCTCATTAAGGAACAAAGCTAGCCATCCATGGGCTAAATGGATAAAGCACGGCGAACTAATGCCCGCAAACAAGTTTCTGATTACTTTTTCAATCAAAGTGCCGACATTTTAGCAATATAACGCATTGTGTGTATGGCAGCTGAGTTTCTGTGCACTTTTTTACACCCAGACTGGAGAGCCGCACGTTAGCATTAGCCACACTGCCTTATAAAAAAAGAAAAGCTAACGCTCGTGTGCTTACCTGCTCCACAGAAGTCACCGTCTCTACCCCGTCATCCAAGAACATTTCTGCCGATTGCTGCTCACGGAAACACCACAGAGGGTTAGGCATGTTGTCCATGGTGGTGAAGGGACCTCTTTAGATGTGCGGACGCTCTGAGTGAAGATATAATTTTGTCGCTATTGGTTTGTTTTGACAGTTCACTCACACTTTCGCTGGACTCCGCTCACTTCCTGTTGGGCGGAAACTGCGTGGATAACTGTTACGGTGTCTCCAAAGGAACAAACTTCTTTAGTGGCGTTTTATTCACTGAACGCGAGAATGTAAAGAAACGAGCGGTGCCGCTTGGAAAAGTGGTAAACATACATTTTAAGTGTTTATGAGCGTGTGTATTGTGACCATTTTAATTTAATTTCATTAACTGGCATTCTGAGAGTCAATGTAACCGCAGGTAATATTCCTGCTGGTAAACTACCCGGTGGGGGGCGGGGGGGATACCGGAAATAGTTCCGTTTTGCCTTCCAAATTAAAACTGAAAGTTATTCAAGATAAAAATCGACCACCTTTAAGAAAGGGTTTCACGGTTACATATAACAAATTCCTCTCTCGCCCCTGCGGGCGGTCTATAGTTCAAACTCGTGTCCTCTACCAGACGCCTGGGAGGTTGAGGGTCCTGCGCAGTATCTTGCTGTTCCTGGGACTATATACAATAAAATAGGACTATAATTAATTGCACATTTGTTTGTTGATGTTATGTGCATATGTTAAGAGGCTCAATTAAGCTTTTGCACATTTACTAAACTCTATTTTTAAGGCCCGGTGTTCTGACAAAACGTCCTACTTTGGCAAAACGTCCTACCGTAAGTAGTTTATGCACATTTCTGCTGTTACAGAGTCATTCCAGCACAAATGTAAGGAGGTATGACGGTTTGCCACTTAACTTTGCCCATCAGAGTATGCTTGTAGCTCATAATTATAAAGCCAGGACGTTTTGCCACTTCATTTTAGCCGTTAAAGTATGCTTGTAGGTCACATTCACAAAGGTAGCATGGTTTGGTCCTGAGTAAAACTTTAGGACTATAATTGTTGTTGTTGTTGTTGTTAGTATTATAGAGATGACTGTCTGTCAGACATATACATTGTTATGTATTAAGTGCTGAGAATTATTGCATGTGGTATGAAAGATTTCCTACGTCTGACCTTGTAGCAGTATAGCTGGAACAGTCTGTTGTAGATCCTGTCTCGGGACAGATACAGGCTGTATATCCAACCTATCTCTGTGGCGCCTAGCCCTGTAGATGCTACAAATAATAATCTACTCAAAGTAGCAGATTGTTTGGACTTGATTGTTATTATTGTTGTTATTACTGCATCCCAGAAATGTGCTGCAAGACACCAATAGCACCATACCTGCCTAAGGAAAAAAAAGACAAGCTTTATGTCTTTTCCTAGCTTTAGAAACACGTTTTTAAACAACCAATTTATGTTTTGTAATTCATAAACATTTTTAGATTTTGTTTTGGCAGATTTAAACAGCTAAAGTCTGGGAAATTTGGGCCTGGTGTATTATTTGTTGTCACTATCAGAACTTTTAAAGCCAACAGCGTGTACAGAACATGTTAAAATTCAAAACTAGTAGCGCGAAAGGGCCACTTTTATGTTGAAAAACATCACCGGAAGTGTCTTTTTATCATCGAGTCTCACCTGACAGCGGTCCACCGCGCCCAGTGGAAGCTGGAGGCTGACTGTGGAGCTGGGGCATCCTTGTTTTGTTAACCACCGACCCAACACCAGTGAGCAAAAAAAAGCGAAGTCAAAGCCGTTTATGCTGAGCTTCTGAGCAGATATGGGATGCAGGTGGGGAGGGGTCGTTCGTCCATCGCTGAGTTAGCTGACTCCGGCTTTTATATTTCAACAATACGTGCAACACTATGGCTAAGCAGTACGATGTGCTCTTCCGACTCCTGCTTCTCGGAGATTCTGGGGTTGGGAAAACATGCTTGTTATGCAGATTCACGGACAACGAATTTCACCCATCTCACATCTCCACCATCGGTAAGACGCTGCACTGCCAGCAGGACTCGTTTGTTACCTGTTTTCTGCACTTCATGTTGATCAGCTTCCTGATTTATCCTAACCCTCTTTCATCGTTTTATATGTGTGTGTGTCCCTTTTTTGTGGCCAATAATTTTTTACCAATTAGATCCAATAAGGTTGAACGGGAAAGTGCTGCGTTATTACTTAACCATAGCAGTGAATTCATACAGCAGAAATAGAAAAGCGTGATTGGATTGTTTGGAGAAGCCCTGAGAGGGGAAGAGCCAACACTTGGCAGCCATGCAGATGAGTTCACCAACTACCAGCGCTTGGCACTGACTATGCAAACGAGTGCCATTCAAAAAAAATAACAAAAAAGATTTATATATATATATATTCTCATATATATGAATGAGAAGTGGACGTTTTGCATCAGCATCCTTGTTACCGGTTAAACTGGGGCCCTGGAGTCAGCAGGTGTACATTAATTGGCTGCAAGTGGTTTCTGATCAAAGTTCCTTCTCAACTCAATGCCTGGCACAAATTTAGTGACCCATTCTGTGAGGTCTTTAAATAAAATGTAAAATCTTGTAAAATGAGAGTTTGTCAAATGATTAAAACTGCAAACATCACTGACTAAATATCAGTTACACAATCCTGGTATGCACTAATCAGATGTTCTCTCTGTGACTGACAGGGCTGACATGTTCAGCTCCTTCTCTGTTTGCAGAACAAACTCGTAGATTTGCCACTTCCCCGTCGATGACTATTGACTCAGCAAAGCCGAGCCAGCCTTCATTCTCATAGCTAATATGGGCTGTGCGCTTCGTAGTTTGGATTCAGAGTCACGACAGGCGCATTACCATGTTTTCCTTTGAGGTGAGGGAAATAAGGATATACAGTAAGCAGTGGGTTTTACTCACATGCTGCTGCAGAGTCTGCAGGCTGTGCTCTCTGTGTGTGTTTAGTTAATAGAGAGATCTGCAATTTGCCAGAAATGAAGAAGGGAGCATACAAACATTGCCGTGGCTGGTGGGTGAAGAAAAAGTCAGGAAATGCTCCTGCTGGTTGTGAGTGATAACTGACTCTTGTAGTGAAAAGACACACAGAACATGTTGTCGAGATAAGGTCGAGGCAATGAATCATGAATCCGGTGCTAAGCCATGTATTTACAGGCGGATATTACTTCACAAGATCCAATATAAAAAGGGAATATAAACACGACCGTGTCTCTATTTGTTTCTTCCTTTTTATTTTTGGACTCCTTTAGTAGTTAAATAAATGCCTTTGTATTAGTTTGAATAATGCTCCTGTAAATAATCCACACTCTATTAAGCTCAAATTCATTTAAAGGCTTGTCTTCCCTCATGTTTTTGCCAGCCAGATGTGATATATGCCCACATGCATACAGCTGCAAAGGCTGCAGTATGCTATTTTAAGTCCTAGACCTATAGCACTCCACAGGAAACTTCCACCCTGGAGAGAGTGATGCTTACAACCTATGCAGCAAGCCTTTCTCTTGTCTCCTACAAGGAAAATCCCAGCTGTTTGTGTATGTTGAAAATGATGACTATATCGATCTTTTTGTGCTTTTGTTAGACCATACCCAGTGTTCACAAGCACAGCTGGATGTGGTAAGAATCTGCCGTCTGGCAGGCAGTGAAATCCAGACTCATATGGGCCAGAAGAGCTGTTGGCAGCAGGTGGTGCCTATAAGCCACACTGAGAGGTCTTTCATGAAATAATTAAAAGTTAATTCTTCTGATAAACAGGGCCCACAAACTCCAAAGGGAAAGAGAGAGCAGGAGCTCAAGAGTGACCATCATCAGTGCTTTCCTTCAGCGGTTCAATGAATCATTTCCCAACCTTCACGCTGACAGAGGGATATAAATTCTCTCCCCTGTCCCCCTCATTGGTTATTCCATTATTTATCACACCCCTTTACGGTCCACTCATTCATTTTCCTGCTCCTAATTATCCCCAAAACTGCTGCTCCCATGGCTTCTCATTTTTTCCTTCATAAAACACTATAAAACCTTTGTCTCTCATTAAGCTGATGCTCCTGCTGTTACTCAGAATGCTACAATCACAACATGCAGACATTAACAGCTCCTAAACAGTGTGATAATGAATAGATATTTCTAAGTATGTGGATACCTGAAAACATATATATGAATTTTCATTGCTGTTGTTATACTGTAGACATTAATCTGCTGCAAGGCATTTGAAGACGGTGAATTTTCTCCCATATAGCCACAAGAGCATGAATTAAGGTTGTCAGCTGTGACTTGTGGGGGAAGGGTTTTTAAGTGTTTCCACACCTGAAATCCATCAAAACTAGCTGTTTTGATGGATTTCAACTAGCTGTTGTTGTTTAGCTGGCATTGCGTGGAGGATATTGTCATGTTGACATGTTGTTAAACTAACAGGCTTGGTTCAGACCAAAACTATAAAAACATAGCTGGGAAAACACGCCCACTGTTTCTAGAACTGCATTTTCCTGTGTTTTTACAGCATTTTGTTGTCACGTGACCTGTAAATGCTCTTTGGCATTTGATGACAGGTCAGTCCCTGCCATTTCTGCAGGAAGCAATTTTAAGTTATACATAAATATAAAACTGTCAAATTGCATTCATTTACTGTAAAGTACATGCAGACAGGTTTTCTAGCATTAAACAGTTATTTTTACACTGAAATTACTATAATTTAGATCAAGTTTCCTTCTATAAAAACATCGCAATACTGTGCTGTGTAAAATATTGGCTATACACTGTAATATTGTCAGCCTGTTATTTAATGTAATTTTAACGCCGATACTTTAATAACCATTGGAAGATTAATTTTGCATGCTGTAAATCTATATATACAATCACTTTATTGCAAAACCCAGTTCAACTGCTCGTTTACACAAATATCTATCTGCCAATCACAAGGAAGCAAATCAGTGCATTTAGGCATGTGGACACGATCAAGACAATGGACATGAATTCGAAACAGGGCATCAGTAAGAAGAAGAAAAGTGATTTAAGGACTTTGAACATTGCATGGTTGTTGGTGCCAGATGGGCTGGTCTGAGTATTTCAGAAACTATTGAAGTGCTGTGATTTTCATGCATAGCCATCTCCAAAGTTTACAGTCAGAGAACAGAGAAGAATTGCCAGGCTGCCTTGAGCTGATAGAAAGGAAAAGGTAACTGAAATAAGCACTCAGTGCAATCAATGTATGCAGAAAAGCATCTGTGAAAACACGTTGAGCCTCACATGGGCTACAGC